AGATGACCCGAAGGGTAACACTTTCCAATAATATTATTGGTTAAGTCTGTGTGGTGTCTGAATAACAGGGCAAAAAAAATTTTTTTCATAAAAAATTTCATTTTTTTAAAAATTTTGGCCCTTTTGACCTTGAAATAAAGGTCAAAGGTCAAATCCAAGGGCATATTTTAAATCTACACATATGACTTTTGGAAAGCTGTCTGTAGAAATTTTTCCCATAACTCCTTCCGTAGGGTAGATAATTAGCATTTAATTTTGCCATTTTTAGACAAGGGTGCATTGCAATGAGTGCCACACCTAGACCCCAATACCGACAAAGCCCAAATTTTACGTGGAACCAGTTGAGATTATAGGTGACCTAAATCCAAGAGATGGGTACAGGAGTCTAGGAGGAGAAGCGGTAATGGTGACTTGGCGGCGGAGCCGGCGGAACATACAGGTCGGGACTAAAACCATGGGTACCGCCAGCGCCTACGCTGGTGGTACAATTATACCCAAATAAATAATGAAATACACAACTGTCCATTATATATCATGCCACTATCGACCTGTAAAAAAAGCAACTAAATGTGGCATAAGGGTTAACACTTAAACTTGAATATACTTGATCTTCAAATATATTCCATTCATTTAATCATTGAGCTTTCAGCATTTATTATTAATTTCAAACTCAGTGTAGTGTCCTGCTTGAGGAAATTCATGTGCTTTATTTATTGGGCATAGTTATTTTGCTTTATTACTGAGAGATCACTTCCATTCAAAAATCCTGCTTGCATTTTTCCACATTTTCCATAAAGCATACTCTTCACTAAACCAGAGTTTCAGAGACAATGCCGACCAGCATCTTCATTATCAAATTTCAATGCTTGCCTGCTTGTCACATTTGATGGAAGTAAGTATGTCACATGCCCTTCTGTGGAAGCTTGGAATTCCTGATAACCAATTTTGCATTTGGTAAACTATAATCAAACTTGCCACTGAATGTCGGAGCTGGTAAATGAAGGCATATGAAAGTTTGATAATTATAAGAATTAAGCTGGCACACATCTGCTTTCAAGCTCAGGGTGTCTCAGCTTGGAATATTAAATGTGCTTTCGATAATATTTATCCATCAATCACACAAAAGATAGAGTACTTTTTATGCAAACTTTTGTTTTACATGAGAATTTAGTAAGCTCAAACAGTCAAAAACCAGTCTGTTTATTTCTGGCTTTTGTGTCCATTTAACCCAAAACAACACGGTCATTGTGGTTTAGTTCTGGCAAAACAGAAGAAGAAATGGATACTGCACCAAAATATTAAGATTTTTTCTGCTCCATAAATAAATGGCTTAAAAAATTCAAAAGAAACGGGTTAGTGAATATGCAAAATCCAAAAGCACCAGCTGCACATTATTATGCTCATTACAAATTTTGCACTCATGAAATAAATAGGTTTTGCCTTATCAATACTGCCAAATGCAGTGACCATGGCAATCCATATAAAATGTAAACATAACAATATCTGAATATACCTGAACATTTAACAAGTAATAAGTAAGATCTACATAACTACAATATCAAAGAAATTGCTTATGAGTGTGGAAGTCAAGTACATTTGCAAAATTAATACATATCCCCATCTTAATTATGCAAAGCCCATACAACAACATAAGAGATTACTTCCTTCATCCTCTTCTGCTGCCTGTGCCTCTGCTGCAAGTTCGGCTGGGGTTTTTCTTTTTCTTCCAAGACGTCCTTCCATATCTGGGTCCTCCATTATAGCAAAGGGGTCCTTCTTCTTGATGCCGTACTTAAATTTAAAAACAAAATTAAACAAAAATGTATGCAATTTTACATATTGTACCTTAATAAGACAATACAAAACAGTAGAGGTATATGACATTGGGTACACAATTCCTGGCTTAGATCCAATCCAGTCTAAGGGACCATTCCCAGACCCTATTGTACTAACTGTGGACCAGACCCTATTGTACTAACTGTGGACCAGACCCTATTGTACTAACTGTGGATCGCTCTATCTCTGAGGGGATTCTCACTAAATTTCAATCAACTTAAGCAACTTAGATGTCTGTTATGCCTACTGAAACTGCTAGGGGGTAATTGATTATCATTTAGCAGCTTCAGTAGGCGTGCCAGACATCAAACCCACTTAAGCTGAAAGCAATTTAGTGAGAAACCCCTCAGAGATGGATCGATCTCGTTAGATCAATCTAGTTATGGGAACCCAGTTTAACTGATGTCATCACTGGGACATATAAATTTCAATCCCCATGTTAAGCAAATAGAACATCCAGTTATGACTGTCAGGTATATAGCCAGACTACTTCCAGTTCTTGCTGAACCAGCTCTGAACATGTCTAAAATATAGAAAGATTGTTTTGAAGTGTATGCATTGTGATATCAAAGATTTGAAAGTGGTTCAAAGGCCTGCTTTTGATGCCAATGTTCCTGGTATTATAGTTAATTGTAAATAATATGAAATGCAGGTGATGTCCAACTCCTGCAGATAATTTGAAATGCATACATGCATTTGCTCTTCATATATCAATACAACCAGCAACAATTAAGGCATCCTCTTCTTACATCAAACCATCTCTTAACAGTGTAACAGTTCATTGGTCTCTTTCTTTTCCAGAAAAAAGATTTCTCTCTTGCATCTCTCTCTATTTATTTTATTCTCAAACTTTAAAAGTTCTGTTTTCACCTCAACTAGATCTCGTTAGTTTTAATAATACTAAAAATAGTTCACAAGAGAGTTCATCAATAATAGAAAGGAAGCTTTGGCAATAAAGGCAATATTGTGGCAGTAATGGGGCCATAATGGTGTGAAATAAGCTTGCCATGGCTTCACAAAGCTATTTGTTGGCAGCCAGGATAAATCATTAAATGCATGCTAACAATGTTTGAAGGAAACTGTCTGCAGAGTCAGAGGGCTAGGTCCAAACATACAGCACTGTGTGTGTGTGTGTGTGTGTGTGTGTGTGTGTGTGTGTGTTCATTATAAAACAGTATTCAAGTTGCCCTTGTTAAATTCATCAATTATGCAATGCTCTGAATTGCTTTATTCCACAAGTCACATTCTGCAGACCAATCAACATATGTAATGGAAATACTCTATGGAAGTACCAGCATGAAGGTCAAGATACATGATAGCAATGTTGATACAGGCAAATAACGGGAATCACAATAGAAATGAACCTTTCAGAGAGCCATGAAGATTAGAATAATCATTTGGCATAGATCAGAATCTAAAAAGACTTTGTTTAATCTTAGACCTCATTTCCATAGATTTTAGATCGATCTATCCCTGTGGGGAGTCTCACTAGATTACTGTCAGCTTAGCCGGCTTAAGTGTCTGTCCCGTCTACTAAAAGCTGTAAGGGGGTAATTAACTACCGTGCGCGCTCGGCTGACAGCAATTTAGCATGAACCCCAAGGGAGTTAGGTTGATCTAGATGGATCGATCTAAATCTATGGGAATGCATTCTTAGTATCACTTTCGTCCCCTTTATCAGAAATATCAAATTTTCTCAAGTGCACGTATGCATAAAATTAGTTTTTGCCATAACAAAAAAAACACGCAATCATTTCCTTGTTCAAAAGAAGAAAATTGCATGTTAAAACCTATTTCCAAGAAAATTGAGACTATGTGACATTTTTTATTCGTGCAAAAAGCACAAACATACAAAAGAATTAGCTACAGTGACAGACTTAAAGGTCACCATTTCAAAATCCATTTGTGTGCTGTTCATTAGTGCCACAAGACTGTATTCTAACCCAGCATCCCTGGATTAGTTCGGAATTCAAAAGAAATGAAATATGAAACTGGACTTGTATAAGAAATCCTCTTTTTTCATATATCAATTTTCCTGTGTTTTATTAAAAGAAAGTATGAAGCATGCCATGCAGGTTTAAAAATATCTAATTAATTTCACAACAGTATTCAAAATCTGTGGACTGTGATTCGTTTATTTGTCAGAAATTGGTTGTTACCTTGTCTCTTATGCCCTGCCTCAGCTCTTCTCTTTCCTCTTCCATTTTTCGATGTTTCTCAATGCGTTTTTCCTCTGCCTCTCTCCTGGCTTCTGCAACTTCTGGGTCTTCCCCTGCTTCACCCTCTTCTCCCTTTGATTCATCATCACCACCCCCAACAGCACCTGGTATTCATTGGAGAAACAAATAAGTCACAACCTGTATGTGTGGCAAATACTGATCTGATCATAAAGCAGTCAATTATTTTGTACAATAACTATTTGACTGAAACTACTAAGAGAATTCTGATATTTAAAATAATAATTTAAGGCAGATCAGAATCTAAATGTCCTCATTGTGAAATTATCATTGTACATTTGCAACAAAAAATGAATTTAAAAAATATATATATAGTCACAGGCTGGCCTGAAATACAGGCAGATTTTAAATCTGCCAAGGCCAGATTGATATTTCAGTTATATCCAGGCAGATAATCAGCTTGGCCAGATTGAAAATCAAGTCAGTCAATTTCAGATTATGCATAGATTTTTAACATCCTTAATAAAGCCAGAAAGAACTAGGAAAGCAAAAATATGTTTTTGAATTGGCAGATGTAATTTCTGTCTGGATTTAAATCTGGCCTGCAACAGATATGTATAAACAATTTTCAAAACTGAATATCTGTGCATTTTAATATATTAAAATATGTTATACATTAATCCCATGCACTAATAAGAAAAATACAAAATTGTAAAAGCTGTTCACAAAACACACACTTTTCCAGTTACTTGTCAGAGTACAAAGTATTAACTTTAAAACCTACTTGCATGATAATATTTCATAACTGTAAATTTCAAAAGCAGAAAGTCAACACTCAAATATATGATATGTGTATCCAGATGAAATTACAATGGCATCGTGCTCATCTTTGGCACATCTTCTCAAGAATATCAAAATTTTACAATCAGAAATATTTCATAACTATCAGTATATAAACTTATGACATATAAAAAAAGAAAAACAGATAACCACACAAATGAAAGGGTTACTGGGCTTATGACATTTGTGAAATTATAGAAGCCTGGTTATGGAAAGGTCACAGAAGTAAGGAGGCCAGTATCAAATTTATACCATTTTTATGTGATAAATGCCTTCAAAGGGCAGGGTTTTAGCAGAAAACTACCTAGGACCAAATGGAGTGATACAGTGTATCCCCTGTATATTCAACATTTATGGCAGACTAACCAAAATAATAATATACATCTATTCCAAAGGTTATCTCAGCATGTTTAAAAGCTTTTTTTCCCTTCTTTTTTAATTTTTGAAGCCATTTTTAATTGGTGTCTAAACATTCTGATATGAAAGTAGCAATTATCTGTTTGCTCAAACTTGCACATTTTTGTTTTCAAAATGTTTGTGTGTAAAGTGTCAGTTTTTGTTTGTTGTTTTTATTTTTCTATCCAATTTCCCCAGATTTGCCTCAGTGGTTGACCACAATCAATTCATGTTCTGTAGACAAACACACTGCCTGGCACCGATGCATATCATGGAGAGTATGGCACACTGGAATGGGCAGATAAACACCTTCAGGATTTCCATTACATTGATTTAGGAATGGGGCATTTGCATATACTTCAAAAACTAAGTGTTTAAATGTCTGAGTGAAAAAGGAGTCAGTAACAATAACCTGAAAGCAAGCCTTTTATTACAAGAAAAAAACGGAACCAAAAACAAAAGTGCACTCAAACATTCTGCCTGGCTGATCACTTGTGCATGCTTTTTACCAGCAAACAGATCCATTGGGCACTGTTGTTAAGGCGCTCAGCCCTCTTGGTAGCCAAACTGAAGAAGATGAATGCTGTAATCATATACATGAGATAGCATGCTGAAGAAGATTAGGACTGCAATATAAGATGTGTCATTAGTGATCATAAATATACCATATTGCCCTGGTATTATGAATATATGGCTATAATACATTTTACTCTCCACCACCAAATGGTATATATACACGGTCACTGTATAATTTCCACTAACACACTGGTATGGGTAGGGTACATTTATTCCTACATTGTAATAATACATTATGTAACAACTTCTTTTTTACAATGAGGTTTTCAATAAAAACCAATAATGGATATATTTCTAAGCAAGAATCCTTTTCTTATAATATTCCCTTGGAAGTACCCCTATCATCCACATTGCAACAGTTAACTATTGCATTATAGTGCATTTAAAGTGATATGCTTTAAATAATTTTGAAACAGAAAAATACCTTGACTTTACTTTAGATAGAGGAAATATAAAAATTGTGAAAGATTTTGAATCAGCAGTCACAATCTGCATATTGAAAAAGGTTTCAATATCATAGGCAAACCAACACCAAATGAAACAAGAAAATGCCAAAACTGCCCACCCGATGTCAAGAGGAAAAAGATCACTTCTTAATTTTACACTGATTTAGCAATGCATGCAATGTGGTAACTTATGTGTTTACATATCTAAGCAAGCAAAAGTCACAAATTCACATTTTATAATAAACAATTGAAGTGAGGCAGTAAAAGCTTTGAAAGCTATGAAAACTTTGGCAAAATATTTCAGTCTTACATCTGAGAAAAGAAACAATGTTGCCTCCTTCAATCAAGAATGTTATTGAATTCATACTTTCTCCACTAAGGCCTTTTTCTATGTGCTTGGTAGTTGTATTATTTGTAGATTAATGCGAGTGATATACTCTATGTATTATTATTATTATTATTTTTTCATCATTAGTACAGGATATGAATGAGAATTATTTATCAAACTGTTCAAAGTGATATCATGGTTATTAACAACAGAACAAAACCAGCTCTATAGTTGAACAACTACAGTAGAACAGGTGTCTACCCCTTAACAATAACTATCAATTGCAGTTCATGCCAGGCCACACATCATGTTCTGTAGATCATGATTATTCAATCTTTTCACGATGGCAAGCCAATCAGTGCTTCAACCATTCCTCTATCTTCAAAGCTACACTGACAAAATTTGAAATTTAAACAAATATTTTACATGTCATATCTCGTTATTTCATGTCTGCACTTTGTTTGCAACCAACAACGCTAATAAAATCTGCCTCAAGTGTTATCATTATCCCTGTCCCATTTCCCTCAGCTATGCTAATAATGTCATCAAATTTCATATCATGTTGTCTATACCCAGTAGGTCTACCCTGTAACCCTGATGTTTTTTAATCAATAAGTTGTCCTAATTACTAAAACAAAATCAATTGCTCTCCCGCATACATCAGTCATTAGTCATGTGGGTATATTCAGAGAAACACTCTGCCTGATAATCTCCATACCTGTAACTTCTACAGCTATAAAACATTCATTATATGATATCCCTGTAATTTCTCTTTACTTAATACATAGATACAAAACTATATGTCTTACAGGGGAGATAAGTGACACATGTAATCAATTGAACTACATGACTACTGTATATATGTCGCTATCAAAATGAGAATTAAAAGGAAAGCGACTGTTCTTATCTAACTCTTACTGCTAAACATACACCTTTATTTCACAGACTGCACATTCAGAAAATTCTCCTTTTCACATATATGCCTCTCATTCATCCACTGACAATTACGGGTATTGATTCTTGTACTAGGCAATTAGGTTTTAATGCCCCAGACAACCTGATGTATTAAATTTGTGGCAGCAATCAATAGCAAGGCCAGTGTTCCCAGACTTGTCCCATGCACAACTTTTAAAGCAAATGCAAATTTTCACAATTACATCATCATAAATTTTTAGTTTTATTGCAGCATTAATTTTCAAAATATCCCATTCAAGAAGGCCAAACATTTCTAAAACTACAAATGGTTGTATATTCAACGATCGATGTGTTAGATATACAAAAGACCAACATTCAATGCACTGTTGTCATTTTTCTAAATTAATTCAGATACTCTAAAATTAACCAATATATCAGGAAAAAATGCATGTGCTACATGAGTACAAAGATAGCATTATCAATATTTCACAGCCAGGCAGAATGTAGTATCCAGCACACACCCATAAAATATCCAAATACAAACAAAAGATAACAAAAACAAAACATAATTAAATATAACATCTCTACACAATTAAGTTTGACAGTTTGCAGCTTACCCTTTACGGACTCCAGCTTATTACCAACAAGTTGTTTGGCTATGAATGCAGCCATCTTGATCAGCCACTTTATTTCCCTGATGTATTATCAATATGTATATTGCACTCAAGTTGATTAGAGATATATACTGGTGGATGATGTGTGCCAGCTCTCACTACTTCACATTACAGCATCATAATCTGTGCAGAAATAAAGAAATAGAAGTAAAATGAGAAAAAAAAATCTTTAAAATTATGGATGCTAAAACTCAAAACATAAATTAGACAGCGAAGCTGGCAAATATACAGACAGTTAACTGAAAAAGTCATTCCCATTGCTTCATTTTAACATAAACAGGCATATTCCAGTAAATACTGAATAAAAAATGTTAAGTTTTCAATGTTTACAGTGAGCAACTTCATGCTTTCCAAAACATGACAGCTTCTTTTGTACTGAACATACTATTTTACAAAAGTTCTCAACCTAAAACGAGTGTACAGGCTTAGTTCTTCAACTGAAATTGCAATTCACAAATTTTACACAAAATGAAACAACTGAAATATTGAAATGAGTCAAAGAACTGGAATAGGTTACTTTCAGTAACTTAAAACAAGATTCAATTCTGATACAATTCTCACATGACACTACCCACTGGTAAAATTCTCAGAAGTTACATGTGTGTTTTAAAAAACTGGAAAACGGGATTGCGCAAGACCACAAAATGTGTTAATAAAGCAAAAATTAAATAAAACAACATTTTTACTAACAAAGCCACTTACGAAATCTGAAATAAAGTAACAAATACAGTTTGGCACCTATGGGGCAATTGTTACTAAAATACAAAATGAAAACAACTTCATGAAAATTATCCAATTATGGCAATTATAAAAAGGATCAAGTCTTTTTACTTAACATAGATACTCAAAAGATTTGAAGTAAAACAAAAACATGCTTTGGCAGATATAGGGTGAATGTCACCAAAATACAGATAAAAGAAAATAAATAAATAAATAAATAAATAAATAAAAATATTCAGTAACTGCCTTAAAAAACACTGGTCATATTGATATTCTAAAGGAACTTTCATTTTTTTCCAATCAAAGTTAATTAGAAAATTTAACGTAAAACAAAAATACATGAACAACGGATGTGTTGGATGGCAAGGGCAACAGCATTCCCAGGGCAGATACAGTGAACAGCAAATATACAGACAAATAATGTCTGTATATAATCACAGAAACAAAATATCACCAAAAATTTAGACCCAAATATCCATCTTGCACACTTATTACACTATCACAGCCTGCACAAACTGTACTCAGTACATGTGTGTGTGTGTGTGTGTGTGTGTGTGTGTGTGTGTGTGAGAGAGAGAGAGAGAGAGAGAGAGAGAAAGAGATCACTGTTACCAAATAAATGACCTCTTGTACTTGTAAAATAACTAAACATATAACATGTCTATATTGAAAGGAATCTAGCTATAGTATATCATACACTTGTTATTTGAATCAAATCTAATGGAAACCTTTTAAACAACAATTGCCAGAAACCACAAAATACAACACACAGGCATCTCTTCAGAGGTAAAGTTACATAACCACTCTACTGATTCTAATACTTCAAATCCCTGTTTTTGTAAACATAAATATTGACAAAACAACCCCCAATACATTTTAATTCATCTGTCAAATTAATGAGCATTCAATGATTACTATGTTATTCCTAAACAAATCTGACTATTTGACGGATTGGATGTCCTAAGTAGCTGTCATTTTACAGACTAAATATAAGCACACAAAGCTCACTTACCAGATAAGCTCAAATTGAAGAAAATGCTGCCTTTAGTTTGGTTGTATGACTATCCTCTTCTATAGGTCTGAAGACTGTCAAAGCTGAAAATAGTGAAACAGATATATAAATCAACAAAAATATTATGATATAGATAGGACGCAACAAAGGCATAGACAAATATATGATTAAATGAGTATTCTGTGCTGTTTGTTACTAAATCCAATGTATTCAGCTAGCAATGAAATTCAAGTAACAATTAAATACTCTAACTGCAAAAACAACTGTGGTTTTTAGAGAAAGACCTGGAAAGATATCTTTACTCTGACATGGTTGACTAACCAATCAATCAAGAGTTTTATTTCTGTAACAAATTCTGTTCGTGTGCTCTTATCTTGCATATACTCACTATGATAATATAAGCACTAATGGCATTGTCTTATGACCATTAATGTTATAAGCTCAATGAATATTTTTCTCTGGAAATTTATATTATGTAAATATTAAACATAAAAAACCATCTACTTTGAGTACCTACTGCATGTATTTTCTGTTTGATAGCAAAGGAAATTCAGCATTACTCATTTTTGTGACACTGATTGCTGGGCTGTAATAAGATAGACGAGTTTGTATACCACTGGGACCACAGATCACAACAGTGATAAAAGCAAAGGAGTTTGAATCCACTGCATTGTATTTGTTTAAATTAAAGGCCTGTTAGACATCCTGTATTACAATAACTTCTGCAGAAGAAAGCAACTCTTATGGGAACTTCCATATAGAGAATTTACCATCATGGCTGACCATTTTCATTTGCAAACAGCTTTCACATTTAAACACTGTAACAATGTATTGATCTTTGCATGCTTACAACGCTCAGTCTTCTCACAGTGTCATGCCCCATATACACTTACCAGCATTTCCCTTATATATATATACTACATGGTCCTTCCACCCACCTGCTCTCAGGGGACACACCTACAACAAATAAGAGAAAAACTCACATGAAGCACTTTACCTGTGCAACTTGCCAGGGATCTTGTCAGTATCACCACTTCTGCATTATTCAAAAGCCTATGGCCCTTTTATTGATTAACCTACACTTTCATCATATATACTCGCATACCAGCTAAAACTTCCCATAATGCCCTAGGAATCAATATCCAGGTATTGATTTTGCCCAAGCTGGCTTAATTGCCATAGATAAAACTGTGTCAGATAATTTCACTGTCAATATTCAACAACTTAACAATTGCTGACACATTCATTCTTGTTTGCATTCTATTGACTTATTTATTGAGTACAAAGGTCCCTACTTTCTAAGAGTCCTACATACTGATTTTGTTTTTTGCAAGTTTAGAAATTATCAGTCAAAATATTTCAACCTTTTCAATTATGTGGACAGAAATTTTAGAGAGAGTGCTTCCCTATTGAGGGCAGCACAATACTCAGTTTATAGCACATCAACTTTCAATTCAACCAATTCAAATTGTTTGCCAAAGGCTTCAAAGAAAAGGTAATGTAAAGGGAACATTGCACAATCTCTCCTTGCCTCTGCTCACAAGACATTTTTTTGCTTCAAATCTCAATATTGTATTAAGACAGTTCCTTTTTTTAATAAGTTATGTTCAAATATCATGCATGGTAATTACTGAGTATATACTGTATAATCAGAATCTGAATATGGGATTTTTTCATCAACAGCTAAACAGTTTCATAATTTAATATACTTATACATTTCCAGTCTCACATCTTACTTTCATCTTTAATTTCCTTTTCCAATTTTCTCCGTTTTTTTTTTTTTTTTAATCAAACAAGGAGCTTAAGAATAATTTATAGGAAACACATGTAATTAAAAATGACAAAATTGATAGGAGCAGACATTAAAACACTCTAAAAAAGATTAACGACTGCTTCAACAATTTTGAAAATATTATTTTCAAAAAAAAAAAAAAATAGTTGATGAAAAACAGCCACACTAATGGCAACAGATGCAAGGTGACGGCCACATGACCAGACTCTAAAATATTAGAGGAACTCAGTCAATGATGTAAAAAAGGGGGGGTCAAACACACCCGAGAATGTCTCCAAAATTATCATGAAACAAATGACTTGAACATAACTATTAGTATTACTTTTAATCTTTTTTCAACTAAGTGAAAACAAGAATCATCCTTGGTGGAAATCACTCAGTTACAATATTTGATATGACTTGTAAACTGTCTATGTATGCCTTTAATCAAATTGATCTCGCTATTAATATTAATTTCAGGATACAATGTCAGATTTGAGTCTCCCTCTATTTTATAAGCGTTCCATTTTGTACATGAATTTGAAATGTACATACTTGAACAACCTGCCGTCAAGCTATCATTTCTAATAAAAGAAACCTATTATTTCTCAATTAAATCCAAAAATTCAGATTGAATGTTCATGACAATATCTATTAATTTGACACTTCCTGATTCTGAAGCCTTTTCCTGCAATCACTACTAACCTTGATATTCCGTCACTTTCAATTTGTAAAATATATATTTTTTAAGTATCAGAAAATTAACCATTAAAGTGCACCTAAAAAACAAATGATTAAAACAAAAAGTGAAAAAACAGAAATAGTTTTAGTCAGAAATTCATGCTGATATTTGAAAATTACCAGTGGCTTTACTTTTACTCATAACTGAATACTGAGCAACAATAATTGTCCAACGGAACAAATAATCTAGAAATTCTGAAAACAAAGGGAAATAACATACATTCATGTTTTCTTTAAAAATGCGTCACAAATGGGGATCATCCAAAATAGACTAAAATGACACTGACAGATGTCATAAGAGACTTAGGGAGCATTCAGATAAACCCACTGCACTAGCTGGAGCGATCCAACTCTTCCCAAAAGTGACTTCAGACTTTCTGTGAAACAGACCGTTTCATAGGTATTCTTTTTTTTCCCTCTTTCATCATTGCCTGTCAAATAAATCTCCTGGGAAACACATTGTAATTCCGAGCGACTAGGTTGAGACCATTCTGTTACACCTAAGAATAAATCTCAACAACCACAATGTAGAGTTCACTATCCAACATTTACACTTATGGTTTTAGTTGAGACAACAAAAAATATCTTCTACATCTGTATTGCAGTGTATTGCTACGTTCCTATTTAAAACATAAAACATTATTTTGTCCACACCCATCACTTAATAGTTCTTGAGAAGAAATGCCAATGAAAGCAGTGTAACATTCAAGTAATCAGCACAAACTCTGGCCTTCTTTTCTTCAGTTCGGCACATGTATGAACTCTTGTTTAATAAATCATCTATGATATGAGGTTGCATATGTGGCATTTCCTGTAGAGGCAAGTTGTTGAGCATCTTTATTTAATTAATTACCATCATTTCAATTGTGTTTCAAAAAAAGATATTAAACTAAATTATTCTGATACCAGTTAATGCCAAGTATCCAGTGATCACTTCTGACTGACTTGAGAAATCTGTAGTCTAAGGCCGCATTCACATTGAGTTGAGCCAAGACTCTACAAAGCTGCGACCTAAATATGGTGGACATACATGAAAGGAAAACTGCCTAATCTTTTAATAGTCTCTCTGCCTCTCACACGCCTCCCCACGCGTCATCCCTGCGGGGGTACAGTCATTAAATCTCGGCTCCATCTATGATATGAGGTTTTCCATTTTTAGATCAATCTATCCCCCTGGGGAGTCTCACTAGATTGCTGTCAGCTTTTAAACCGGCTTAAATGTCTGCCCCACCTACTAAAAGCTGTAAGGGGGTAATAAACTTTTGTGCGCGCTCAGCTCCCGGAAGCTGACAACAATTTAGCGTGAACCCCCAGGGAGTTAGGTCGATCCAGATGGGTTGATCTAAATCTGTGGGAACCCAGTCTATAATGAAACAGAAAAGGAATTATGAATTTAACTGCATCTAACATCACAAGCTATTCAAAAAGATTCCTGTTTGTCCTGCTTTTAATTTTGGCCACTACATTTATAGGTCAAGGCAATTTAAAAAAAACTTTTATATTACCAAAAAAAAAAAAAAAAGGATATAAAAAATCTTTCCCTGACAAAATTCCAAATGTTTTATCTACTGACAGGAAGCAAAACTAGAGTATGGTGCTCTTTTGGTACAAATTTGTCAGTCTCAAAAAAGATAATATTATATTTTACTAATATATACTAATATTAAAAAAAAACAGCTTCCAATTGTTGGATAATATTTGATTATATGAACCTCCTTCAATTATAGGAACCTTTTTAGGATTTTTCTAAAAATTTGGACTTAAAGAATTCTGGTATTACAGATGACAAACAAGATGTATTTTGGGGACATACCGGTATATTCTCTCAGTAAAAGGCACCACATGTATTTTGCTTCAAGTCATCAACACATTAATTTACATTGTATCAAGAGGCTGAATATTATTGCATTTTCTGAGTAAAAACTGGATTTAAATTGATATTCCATGTTGGCCATTCAGACTGAATTTCAACCTCAGTTTATGCCTGACAACGGTTTCACAGTGGTGAAATTTTCTAACATAGCCCTGACTGCACTTCACATAAACCCAGATCTGAACTTGGGCTTTAGTCTCCATCTTGGTTTACTCTAAATTACCTTCTATGCTGAATGTTTGCATAGGGAATGCATGTGTACAAATTGGCAATTTATCATATTTCACAGTACTATCACATGTCATGTTTTTCTTATGATAATATTTTTATGAGTAAATTAAATATCTTCTACAGCATGTCAATCATCACTGCTTGTGGTTGATCTGCTAACAAACTGAACTGCATATCAAAGCTTGCTACATAATTTCCTACTAGTAATTGTTTCCCAACGGCCAAGCTTTCAAGTCGGGTTATGCCACATTTGATCCGCAGCTCAATTAGTTGTGAAAAGAGCCATAAGATTGTTTGCTTCCTAATATTTTATTCAGAATGTTGAAACAGCTCGGTGAGAATACATATAAATAATAATAATAATAAATCTCCTGCCACAGAAATACTTATAACGTTTTGCTTCAAATCTGTCCCTACATAATGATCTAACACACCTTGTTTGTCTTTAAGTTTAACGCTAGGAGTTTACAGATGATCCTCAAACTTACAAGAAAAATTCTTAGGACTAATAAAGCAGCTTGAATTAAAAAAAAAAACAGCCTGTTTTATTTGATGCTTTCACTTCAAAGGTAAAACAGAACTGTAGGGTAGCCTGCTTTTCATTTTTTTTTTTTTTTTTTGCAACAAATCAATCAAAGGAATGTTTTTAGTTTAAATTTTTATTATAACAGATTTAAATTATTTGTAAATTTCACAATATTTCCCATTGAAAACATCGAGTTTCTCGTATAAGATCCATAAGTGATTATAGAGCTATATATTGCACAAATATTTCATAGACTATGCTTTACACCCAAACCCAATATAGAGGTGCATTTCACATGCTGAAGTGTCAAAAAATAAATATGACTGAATTCAAAATTGTATTCAATATTTCAAAACATATATGTGTATAGAACAAAAATCCACGACTGTCTCAACTGATATTCAATTTTGAATTTTTACCATATCTTTAACATTACGCAAAGAGCCCTATATGGTAACGTATGTTCCAAAAAACGTACGGTAACGTATGTTCTTGCCATTTAATTTTCATAAATATGCCGCGTTCCGATATGTTTTTTAATGGTTCAGTCATGGTAAATTAGACATGACGTAAGGACGTTTTTAATAAATATTTTAACTGTTTCTCAAGGGGCTTTGCGTCATGGCTTATGCTAGGTAACGTATGTTCCCTAGAAATAGTGTCTAAATGTTTCATTTTGTTCAAGTACTTGTGTGCAAGAGATACAATGTTTTCTTTTGCTGACCGAACTATATATTGTGGTTCCATGATAGTTTGACATTTCTACTATAATCTTTGGATCATGAAGGGAAACATGTTTATTTGATGCTTATTTTACTGTTGGTAGGGTGTATTTTCCCCATTTTTTAATATCCTGTGACAAGCAAACTAAAGTCGCTCAAATACAATTAACTGGTCTATATAGAAGATTATTATAATTTTTAGCAACGTTATACTTGTAGGAGATAAATCAATGAACAAAACCAGTGATGACTGAATTTTCAAAGTCAGTAGAACGTTTCACAGTTGGACGTTTTGTGTTTGTGACAGTAACGTATGTTCCTTTTTGGGGTTAAACGATGAATTATTTTTAATTATTCATGGTTCCAGGAGAGTGAAACTTTTATACAAGCTTCTTCATGTGGGACCCTAAAATTATCAAACACAGTTAGCAATCTGTGCAGTAAATATTTTTAATAACATGCTTGTGACATCAATTGCACCTCTACATTGGGTTTGGGTGTTTAACACGGTCTCCGATATTTAGTGCATTTGCTAACAGATGAAAGATATAGGTGCACATAACTGTTCAATGACAGCAGTGTTCGACTTCAGTAAGCGAGCGATATGTGAGCTTCCGCACTGTGGTGAACACACTAGTTGGCTGTCATTCACCAGTTTTTCACGTGTACCTTCTAAGAGATAAAAATGCCGACTAACCTGCTAGCATACCATAATGACCTTGACCTTGATAATTACTCTTAAACTAAATCTGTTTAATGAGGTTGTTTTAGATAGACATCGAAAAGGAAATCATCAAATTTTCATTGAAAATGCGGCTTTTTAGTTATCAACACTTATAGTTGTAAAAAATGTAGAGATAAGTTTTTTAAATATATTTTTTTTATTTTTAATGTGCCAAACATAAGTGATTAAGAGTATAGGAAGTAAGTAAACAGTATGGCGGAGGTAAGGTGGAGATTGGCAGAAAACTTTTTAATAATCTTCAGAATATGACTTTTTGCCATTATATTATTTTGATTTGATAACTTGTTAATTGTTGAACATGTGAAGTGTGTATAAGTGTTAGTTTGACTACTCATGGTAAAAATGTACAGCCGTAAATGCCAAGCACCCAGTGGCCTAGAAAGAGGCCAAGGGCAAGTTGACGTCAATGAAATGTCGTCCGCTCTGAGGTCCCCCCTGTCACTATAGTAATGAGCGGGTACTTGTCTGTTGCATTGACAAAGATTATGTTGTTTTAGCGAAAATGTAAAATTTTAATATTATAATCCCTTTTATTCTTATGAGGCTACGTGGCCATGGATTTTAGAATACATTATTTTGTTGGGTTGCATGTTTACCTGATTGATTATATTCCCTTTTGTTTTGTTGCCTATATTGGGCTCAGGTAGTACACATTTTCTGTCTAAAGCACTGTGTTTTCTGCATATGTGCTAAGTGTGCCATGGTTACAGCAAAATCATTAAGATGAGATGAAAACTATATATACTGAAAGCTGCTATATCAGCGACAGTGGTGGGATTGATGGATGTGATGGTTTTGTAGTAAAGTGAAATTGTAATGTGAGTGAATAGGTTGTCAGCAGCAACATTTTTGGCTATTCTGCTGTATGTTACTTCAAAAGTTGAGAGGCAAGGGAAAATGGAGAAGTTTACAGCTGGAAAAGTAGTGGTAACAATAATAATTGAAGTTCATCTCTTGTTTATCTTTATTAATTTCATCAAATTTTGACACCATAGTGAGTATGAAATAAAATAGATACTAATGCTAGGGGTTGATAATGTAGAATTGGCTTCAGGCAAAATGCAGTGAATATTTTATGCAAGTAGATTAAAAATTGAAAATTTTATTATCTTTTAAATGAAGCAAGCATCAAAATTGTAATTTTTATCATAGATGAAAATTGTAAAGCACATGCTGAAAAATTTCCTCTTTCTCATGTTGATTGTCACTCATATCTTCTGTGGGATATGTTTTTTATGGTTTTGTTTCAGATAGAGAATCATACAAGGTCTAAGCAAAGTGATGTTTAATGGATAGATTTTTGTTTGATAAACAAAGATTAAAACAGTATATATGTACATATGCAGATGTTCTCAACAGACCTTTTGGTCATATAATTTAAGTTCACTCTATGCAGGATTTTCCGGCCAGAATGGATTTTCCTTATGGGAAAAACAATTTTCTCCTACTCTATTGCTCGACCTGTCCCTGCACTTGGGTTAGAAATTAAATTTAATTTTTAATTCAATAATTTAGTTCTAAATGACTAGCCAGTCATTTAGAATACATCTGCTTGCCTGACTTTCATCAAGCATGGCCATTGTTTTATATCTCTGACCTGTCCTTGTATAATACAGAAGTTGCAAGCTGAAATAGCTACCACAGAAGACTGAAAAAGTAATAACAATACAAAGAATGCTTCAGTTAATTTTTATTCAAGAGTTTTATAATCTTTAGAGTCTGTGTTTTCAAACCCGTATAGAGTGCTATTAAAGTTACTTGTATAAAAACTTAAGTGATTATTTCTATGACGCATATGAAGGGTCTAGCTAATTTGAAATTCATTATAAAATTCCAGGAATTTAGAAATATCAGGAATGAATGTATAGCATTTGACATTTAAATTGTCAATATTGATATAATTATTACCCTATTTTTAAAATAAAGAATAGAAATTCATTTGAGTAAGGCAAAAATGTCAAATGTAACAGAAGGGCCTATCAGGACAATTACTTGTACAGACTTTTAATTAACTCCCGTCACTTTGATGGAGGGTTTTCAAGAATTTCCATTTTCCATTAATTAGGGTGTGAAATTTTTGTTAATTTACACAATAACTAGACTAGAATTCACGTGCAAGCAGATGATCTAACCAAACCATTCCTAGTTGAATGAGATGATGCAATGATTGCTAGACGAAGATCAATTGAAAGACCCTGGGGCTTCTAAATATATTACCTTTCAAAGATAAATAAATGACAATGATGAATGTTTTTCTTTCATTTTCTTTATTTCAAATTAATGCAGTTAATGAACACGCTTTTTAAGTGTGGGCCTCCTCACTGTCCTAGAATTGATATTGGCAAAGTAGTGATAGCACAGGGGGAGGAGATGGATGTTATCAGAATGGCTTTTGATTAAGCTATATCACATGATTCCTACTGGGTTCAATCATGGTGACCTACGGAGAAATAGGAAGTTTGCTGATAGGAATTGACTCTTGTGGTGCTGGCAGTAGTGTCTCCTACAATGTATATGTTTAAAAATATTTTTTCTTTCTGTTTTACTTCAGTCCTGAATGTGGCACAGCCTGGAAGGTTGTTTCATCTGTTAAATACTCTGGGGTTAATTTCTTATATAGATTTATATCTGTTATTAATTTTTTTTTTCATTTGTAATTTATAACTAATGTAAAAGTTGAATATATCTAATAATATGTTATCATCAATACATCTTTACATAACTTAGTTGGTAATAAAAAACAGAGGTCAGATGAGGAAACTTTCTCACTTGAAAAATGATGGTAGATTTATTTTGCCGAATGAAATAAAAAAGATGATCTGATTTTTTTTTTTTTTTTTTTTTTTTTTTTTTGGCATATCTGTTTTATGTAATATTTCAAGCAGATACTTGCCCATTGGACCTATAAACTGTTTTCTTAACTTTAAAGTTTGGAGTAGATCATTGAAAAAAGCTTGAAAAAATATTAAAGCTTGTTTGTTGTTAATTTAGATGAAGTAACACTTGTTTTTCTCCAAACAACTGCAATTTAGTCTTTGTTTACAACCATCTCATAAAAAAGATCATTGATGCAGCCCCAGGGCTTTACGCCTTCTTCCTGTCACTATAGTTTAATGATTAATGTCATTTTATTATGACTTAATCTATATTTAATACCCAACATACCTCGAATTATGTAACAAACTAATTCTTATTCTTCAAGCAGTGTTAAATTTTTAACTATATCCTCATCATGATATTCTTGTCATATACTGAGGTAAAACAACTAGGTGAGCGGCAGAAGGCCAAAATTTTCAGATTTAGTGTCCCCTNAACATTTTCTCTTTAACCTGAAGCAACATATTGGATATATTGAAGTACCTCAAATGCATGCTATTATTTGTGGATGTGAAATAAACCAATGATGTTATGCTGTGACACACTAGAGAAGTGAAGCATCCATTGTTGAAAAAGTGTATAATCCACATTGAGAGTGAAATGAGAAAAGCTTTAATTTTTTTTTTAATTACAGTGAAGAAGCTGGTTGGAAAACTTTCTTCCTATGGCATTATCCTAAAGAAAAATTAGATGAAAATGCCAATATAATTTAATATTGCTCATTTTGACAGTTAATAAATGATTGTATTTGCCAACTAATTTAAAGTATCTGTGAGGATATGTTTACGTTGCCAACCAGTTTAAAGTATCTGATTCTGTGAGGATGTCCTTACTTTGCCAACCATTTTAAAGTACGATCTGTGGGGGTGTCTTTACTAGTACTTTGCCAACCAATTTAAAGTATATGTGAGGATATCTTTGAGTTATGCTTCATTGTGCTGTAAATCTATGCTATGTATGCTTGACAACTTGAGGGTCATTTTTCTGTAAAAAAAATAGTAACTTTCAGATTAAAAAATTAGTCAATCATGCTAACAGTTTTCTCAAAAATTTAGGTAAATGATGAATGCTATGTACAAACTTTTCAATAGTGGGAACAAGATTGGATATTTTTAGCAAGCCACATAACCAGTGGCTTGGCACTCTCAGGCCATTCTGACAGGTAACTCTATTTGTGGAAGGTCTTGCATGCATGGAAGTTACTAAAATCAGATATTGCGTGCCACCCTCACCCAAATGGATTGTTAACGTGAGCTTTTCTTTTACTGTTAATATAGTCATTTTGGAAAGGATAATAGAGTAGACAGAATTTAATTTTGAGAGCAGAGAGGTGAGGGTTATATTTATCAACATTTCAATTACTAGTACCTTGTAGAAATCTTCTGGTGCTTGACCAACATGCATATATGCAAAATCTCCCTCACTCACATACATGCTTTTGTAAAACATAGTTTATCTTGTTCACTTTTGGAGGTCATTTCTATCATGAACAAACACTGTGTCTGTATGTTTATCTTTACATTTTGTATATATAGTTTTTACAATGTATGTATACCAAGTAGTCAGGAGAATTGATCCCTGTTTCTCCCTTCTACATGTAATATCTGCTCTGGCTATCTCATTCAATCCTGACCAGTTTAACACTACCTGACCAGTCTGACAAAAGCAATTCATTGACTTAGTATGGGTGTCCTCCATTACAAGCCACAGAGATGATACTGGTAATATGATTGTTTGTATTCACAACATGGTTTCCTTATCATTAAAAGAAGAACTGACAAATGAATTACGATTTGTTAAGTTATGCTCCTGATCTGGATGATAACTACAGTGTTTCTTTGCTAAAAGGTAAGATTAATATATTGAAGAGGATGTTCATTGCACAAACTTTTTGGTAAGGAGGAAAATAGAATGATTTTGTAAGTGTAGGTCTACAGCTGCCATATACAGCACATGTGAAAATGCTCTTATAACATTTGACATAATAAAAATAAATTGTAATAGAATACAGGTTATGGTTACTGCATGTGATATGCATGATAATTGTAGTTTATTCAGAATGTCAGAAGGCTTGAAATTATACTACTTAATTTACTATATACTTTTATTTAATATTTACTTATGGACGTCACAGTTCATCTGCAGTCTAAGACATTGTACTTTTGTGGCATTGAAAGTATAAAGGTATAAAATGTGAATACCAAACTATAGCCCAACAGTGTCAAAGTTTGTTGCCTAGAATTTTTTTGTAAGTCAAACAATTGTAAAAATGCACATTTTAACTTTCTACTTTAAGCCTTCTAATTTGCCTTGGTGACCTTTTGTTGGCAAGTGATAATGTCAGCTGTTAAAGAATACTCATTTTGTACTACATGAATTAGTGCGTTTTTCCTTATCATTCAATTAAATAATCACTACAGTATGTTTCATTGGAAATGGAATTGGAAACTTGTTGAATCAGACCAAGTGAGGTTAACTGTAGCTATATATTTGTTCATCATTGGCATAGAGATAATGATGGACTGAATGAGCTAAAATATTGGTGTATGATCACTTCAGCAGTCCTGCACAACATTGCTATCTGCAATGGATGTGTGTTATATGGCATGAAATGAACCTGTTGAATAGCTCTGCATATATCCAGTAATAAAAACCACTTCTTATAAAACCATATCCCATATTCAGCCTACTTAAACTTGGAATGCCGTTTGTTCTCAAAAGTAGTAATATTAATATCGAACCTCATTTTATCCTGCTACTTCTTGTCATCAGAGATGCTTTAAATTTATGTACTCTAACAGACCCATGTTTTGCACAAAGGAAAATGTTGAAATAGGTTTTAAAAGTGGATTTATTCTTTTTACTTTGATCTACTAGTACATGAAATACTACCATATTAGATTTTATTTACTTTGTAAAAAGTCTGCATTTTGTGACATTTATTTTGTAAAAGCCAAGACTACCATTTCCCATATAAAAAGCCTTAAAGGTTGTCTTTTTCATCAACACATTTTGTTTTGTTTCAGTATTTGATTAAGTAAATGTGTTAGGTAAAAAAGATTATTTTAATACATTGTAAGGATTTTTAAGTCTACCATTTTCCCTTTTTATAAAAAAAGTTGCTTTGATCATCAGCAGATGTTGCTTTACTTAAACATTATCTTTTCTTCATTAGATGTATGAGATGATAATTTCATTAAATATTACCTTTCATTTTTAATTAGGTCAAAAGCTGTTACTATTCATCCACCCTTTCTTAAACAACATATTTCCTGAAACCTCATAGTTCCTTTAATACCATTTTAGTGTCTATCATGTTATCACATTTATAACTCTACAGGAAATCACTTTTTTCATCTTTTTCTTATTAGTAAAAAATGCTGACTAAAAAGGGAACAGCGTGCATTCCATTCTAGGATGTTTATTTGATTTTAAAAATGACGTTATTGTTATGTTTCTCTTGGTTATACTTATGTTACAAGTCAAGTTGTAAAGGATCACAATGTGTAGGTTGTGTGAAAATATTGCAAACGTGCATTATTATTCTTAGTGAGATGATAAAATTTTTAAAGACTACAAATTACTTCAGAACACTATACGCTGCTGGTATCTTATCTGTTGGGTCAACATCTGTAATACACATCTGCTTACCTCACCAAAATCTGTTTTGAATATTTCATTACATTATATTTCATTTCTAAATTTTTAAGTTTTCAACCTGTCTCTCAGCTATAAGTGGTTAAATATCAGTACCAATGGAACAGCTTGTTCATGGCTATGATCTTTGTACACTTCATACAGAATGCTGCTGTTATTTTCTAAAATGATAAGATAATTTAGTTGGTTATCAACATTGTAGGCAACAGTCATATTGTCCTGTGGTGTTATCCTTATATAATTCAGAGAAAATTGCTTTAGTGTCTCTGGTCTAAAGCTAAGTTGAGTTTTTAAGATCAGTATGGTGCATGCCCCTGTGGCAGTTGCACTAAGTGTACTACTTGATATGGAATTTGGATCCAGCTCAAAATATCTAATCTATCATTTCAGGTTATGACGTGCAACTGTAAATTGAAGGGACTAGCAAAGTATGGTAGAGCAATAGAACAATACACGTAACTAGCTTTGTTATTAACACTACTGCGTATTTTGTGTATTAGCTGCAAGACGATTGAGACTTCTTTTTCAGGGATTAATCTATGCAGGAAATACTCGCTACATGGCAATACCTGTTCATTTTTCCAAGAATTTTTTTTTGATTTTTTCAGTCAACATTTGATGACCTGCCATGCAGTAGCATACCAACACCTCCATCTTCAGAAACAGAAAGCATGATGAATATGTCGGTAAGTGATACACAGTTGGGGTACTAGTACTATGTTACATTTTCAAGTTCATCATAATAATGTTTGCTTGTAAAAAAATTAAGAAAGTAAGTATTTTAACCTAATTTTATTCATAGACATTATTTTATTTTTGTCTTTACTAATTGATGTGGAATGATTTATTAAAGCATATTTTCTTTGATCTGTTGATTATGTGTGTGGCACCTAAGTTTTAAGTGTGTAGTACTAGTAGATTATTTCTTCCAGTCTTTGTATTCATTACGATGCTCCAGGAATGGGTTACTTTGGCCTACCTGTCAAGGTCACTGATCTTTTGAAGTACCCCCTGGTGGGCTAAATTGAACTGCTGCTGTCTTTTTTTATATTTGTCATGTATTGTGTTTTCTTGAATTATTATCATTATATTATTAGAAGCAATTAACATTGTATTTTATTATATGCCCTGCAAAAAGGGAGAAGATTTTAGTCCTGTGCCTGCAGGCAATTTTGTTTGACTGTCATATCTTACTACTTTTCTTTTATTAAGGCATCTTCACCTGATGATGTGAGACCCCAGAGAGTGGGAAGCAAAAGGAAAATCAAGAACAAAGAGGATAAAGTCTGTGGAGTGTGTGGAGATAGTGCCCTGGGATACAATTTTGATGCTATAACTTGCGAGTCCTGCAAAGCTTTCTTTCGCAGAAATGCCTTCAAGGAAAAGGTATTTTTAGTACTTAAGTAATTCATTTTCAAAATTGTGATAGTCTGTAACTTTGCAGCTTTTAAGATGCAAAGTTGAATCAATAATCAGCATGACATGTATCTATGTTGCTTGCATTTCTTTAACACTGTCCTGAACATTTCCCTTTGTTTTGTTTTATTCCAACAAAGTATTAGTTGTAGCTGAGGTCAATACATTGTCTTGCAGACCTCTGGAAAGTGATATTGGCCTTGGCTGTCCCAAGGTCGATATCACTTTTTGTGAGGTCTTTAAAACATATTGACAGAAAACAAAAGTCAATATTTGTTTTATTTTATTATTTAATGCCTGAATATTTGCCATCCAAGTTAACAACAAAAGTTGCAACAAAAATATTGGCATTGTTGCTGTCTGATTGTTAATGTGTTGCCTTTGATAAAAAATTGGCTATTGTATCATCAGTCAATGTTATGTCCGGTGATGGTATCATCAATCAATATTGTTTTATCTGACCTTGAATTGCCAGATACAAGTTTAAATACATGCTTATTATAATATTATACTCATTACATCCTGTTCATTACTAAAACAGCAGTCATTACTAATACTGTCCAACTGTATTTCAAATTATTTGTTTCTAACTCACTTCTAATATGCTTATGGATGTATGTGTTCTTTTAAGAACTCGAATCTTAAAAGATTTCTATTGCAAAGTTACTTGTCCAGTGCTGCATGTTATGTGTTGTTTTGGGAGACCCTGCAGTAAGCAGTGCGCGTGATTTTTGAGGAGCAGTTGTCTGGATGGAAGCTTCATTCTTGCTTGAGAGGTAAGCACTAATTGCAGCTACTGGGACAGAGAGGGGTTGGGTAGAAGTATGCACACCTGTCTAAAGCAAGACACTGGGATACAAACATTTCTGTGCTTAGGCAAAACACTCCTGTCTGTTTGACCTCAGACCAATGACTTTATGTCCATTTCTAAACTTGAACTTAAATTTGGTGGAATCTTTTTAAAGCTTTGAGGCAAAATTTGGAAATAGTTAAAAATCAAAGAAAAAGGGAATTTCAAAATAATGGAGCATTGAATTTCTCTCTATTTTTTGGTATGTGAAATATGTAGTAAAGTTATTTTTGAAACTCTTGAGTGGTCATTGCATCACTGTTGGTTCCACAGTGGATAGTATGGTTATTATATAGCGTACAACTGAAAGCTCAATACAAGCAAAAGGAAAAAGTCATAGAATGAATTACATCAACCTACTAGTATGGAATTAATGTTTGCTGAGCACACATCTTGGAGTGTTTTGCAATGATCCAGGTTGAGTAAATGTTGCAGAATACTGATAATAAAAATCCAACTATCAGTCAAAGAAACACATTAGCTGATGTGCATATTTTGTGATTGTTCTTTTTCCAATATAAAAAGTGAAATTGTATCCCTAGGTCTTGTGATTATTTATCCAAATTTTGCTTTTCCAATGAAAGCTGCTTTTAGTGCTACCTTGACAAAATCACAATTTTCCTCTTTGCTAATTGATTCACTTTATCATATAAAGATGTATTCATTGGGTAGAAATATTAGAATGGGTTAAAATTTCAGACCATTGACAAAATATTGCTCGATTGAACAGACATTTGTAGAATGATTTTTTCTATTTTGTGATTCTCTCTCTGTACATAGCTTTCCTACCTGCCTGAGAATGGGGATGGTCTTGTTTGTGCCCTTGTCACATTGATTGTTATAACCTAGCTTTAGTTTAATCAGTAAATGTGTTTTGAGAGATTCTGTCATATAATTAAGATACAGGAGTCTTAGCTTACATAATTTACAAGTTCACTTCCTAATGTTTGGGCAAAAATTATTCCTAGGACATGCGCTCTTTAACACAGAAATATGCTTCAGTCAAAGCTAATTGGTCATGTCACGTTGGAGATTGTGGTGATGGTGATGGGGGGATTGGATGGTTCTCTTTCATGCTAGATATTAAAGGAATACTGTGTTGAAAAAATGGGTTTATGTGCCCAAAAGTAATTTTTGGTCAATTAAAGAGACTGATTACATTTTATTAGTTTCTACACAGATTTTGTACAGGTGTAAATCTAGTTTAAGAAACGCCAGCGTGGTGGCGCTGCGAGGAAGTAGGCTATTGAGTGACGTGAGCAGCATCGAAGCATGTGACACCATTCAGGTTGATTCAGTTTTGGGTACAGTTACTTTCAACCCTGTCTTCCAATAAGTATTTTCACACCATAGACAAGAAAAACTGGATATTTTTTTACAATCAAACAAAAACAAACACCAAAGTTCTTTTGTTTACAGTAAAGGTTTGGTAGCAGAGCAGCTGACATAGTTTTTCACACGTGCCGGCTCTGTCAATTGACAGAACGAGACAGTAACATTAGATATAAAGGTTTGACAGCTGGCATAGTATTTCACACCTCTGGAGCTTACCGTCACCTTCCAGGTAAGCCAGGCAAGTAAAAAAAAAAAAAAAAAGACGCAAATATATCAGCTCAAAATTTTTTTCACACCTATGCAACTTACCCCAGTACTTCTTTCATAGAGTTACACGTGATCAGTGCAGTAACACAAATTTTGAAACCAGTAAGATGTAAACATTCAAGTTTTCACAAATACACCTGATAATTCAACAATATTCTTCTTGCTGTAGACTGTTTTTGAGCTGTAGCAGTTGCTTTCCTCTTCCTCATCATGTGCATTTCCACAAGGGACGACTCCTGTTGGCCGTGCTCTGGCATTTACTGTTGCATTTTTGTGCTCCAAAAAGTCAAATATACTGTTAACAGTATCATTTCTGAGTTTTCTCCTTGCCTTTTTCACCACACAATTCAGATCACAGGTCATGCAAGCAGCATTTGGGCGCAAAGTGATCGCTGCTGATTGTAGCACATTTTGACAATATGATTGGATTTTTGAACTTCTATGCATTGATCCAAATTCGATGTATTGCTAGCTGTCTCCAAAGGTAAAACAAATTTAATTAATTTATAGTATTTATATTGTTAATAAATCATTTAACATTTTCTGTTTTTAGAACACAGTATGACTTTAAGCTGTCAGTCAATCAGCTTAACTGAGTGACACCTCACCTCCTTGACGTTGTGTTAAGTAGAATACAAAAAAAGGTGGTGGTTAAGTTGCCTAACAGAAACCATTTGATTGAAGTATACACCTTATTAATAAATTACTTATGTTATTAATTATTTACACATTCTTATGGGTGTTTATGACACAACACCTCAGGGAAGGGAATGTCTCGTCTTTTCCCTGGTTGTGGATGGGATACCTAGTCCTCTGGAAAAATGCAATGCTTGTCATTTATAGAATATTTCATTTCTTTGTTTGCCATTTCTTGTAATATTTGTGCTAATGGATAATGATCTTCAAATGGTATATTGATTACTACAAACTACAGTAACTTGAGTAACTTAATATGTGATTCCTTATATTTTTATTAAAACAATGTTCAAAACATATGCTGCTAATTTTGATCAATTGTTAATACCACCAATTAATAATCTGCTAGTTATGTACAAAAGAACACCATTTCTGAACGTGTAAGATATGTTTTTTTTATTTTAAGACACCTTCAAGTTTTGTCTCTCCTAATACATTTTAAACGTCATGCATTCCATTTCTTATTGTTAAACTATATTTTAGAAATTCAGTTTGCACACACTCACACTAGTGGGCTTGATTTGGTCTTAAAGTGCAATTTAAGAACACAAATAGTCTTACATGATCTTAAAACATGAGTAAGACCATTTCTAGTCTGACAGCCAATTAAGTTGTCTCCCCTTACACATTCTCCTATTGTGAGCAGAGGTGTCCTCTATTGTGAGGGGAGGTATCCCCTGTTGTAAGGGGAGGAAACTGCTTGACCACTTAAGTAGATGTTAGATCATTTTTGATCTTAAAAGCATATTCAGTCCATTTTAAGACTACTGCTGTAATGATTAAGATCGTGTAAGATCACTTGTGAACTTAAATTGCACTTTAAGACCAAATCTAGCCCACTAGTGTCAGATATTGGAGGGTTCACATACCATCATCAAAACCTAATTGTCATGAGAGTGTATGTTGATCTCCTCTGCCTTTTGACATATACATTTATATGAAAAATACATTGACACCAATAATCACTACAAATAAACTCTTCACTATTGCTTATATTGCCCACTTAGGAGTGATAAGGTAGATATTTCAAAGATAAACAGATATTACTTGATGAATATAACAATAAGACGTCCGAGTAAATGATTTCAAAGATAAACAGATATTACTTGATCAAAATAACAAGAAGACACCAAGAAAATATGATATTCTCATACCTGGAAATCCCTTTTCTCTGTCACAGGCTTTTGTGATTATTGCTTTGTTCTGAAGGAAGTTATATACAGCAGTAGAGGTCTATGTGATATACACTAGTTGGTGTCACATTCACCTTGCAGATGATGTGGTGTGTGTGTCTGATACTGCCGCGGATATGGAGAGCAAGAGATCCATATTTGAGGTACACCCTGTCTTGATCTTTGTGCTCCACATTCGCGAATGTATGGTGTATAAATGAAAAGATTTGATAAGGTGAAAACATAGGTCTGACATGCTGCACAGACAAAAATTGATTTAAAATAGAATTTAACACGAAGCTAACAATTGCAATTATTGCGCTTGCAGCTTCCCTCGAGCTCTCCCTCCCTGCCCCTGCTCCCCATCATGCCAAGCCATCAACTTTGCTTTTAATGTGATATAGCTGGGGAGCTTTCCTGTTTGCATTAATCATTTTCAGTAGACTATGTTTTTACTAACTCTGTAATGATATATACTCTTAATTCCTTTTTGTAGACTTACGGTTGGGACTTTTAGAAAAACATCTAAATAAAAAGGTGATGCTTTTAATATTTTCCAGGAGTTGAAATGTGTTTTTGAAATGAAATGCAAGATTGATGTGAACACCAGGCGGTTCTGTTCCTACTGTCGGCTTCAGAAATGTTTTGCCATTGGAATGAGGAAGGACATGATCCTGGGTAAGTAAACAGCCCTGTTGATGACTGCATGACTAGAATGTTCTTGAGAAATTGCCCAAATACATGAAAAGATGGATGTCATTAGTATTTGACGTCCTTTGTGATATGCGAATATGGTTGGCTGATTGTAAGGAAAGAGTACCCATTATAATTCCCACCACATTGCATGTTAGAAGTGTTGAAAATAATTGATGTTGATCACTGGAGGAAATATTTGTTTTTAGAAATTGAAATTGATCACCTCAGTGGAAATGGATGTGTGCATGTCCAGTATATAGTGCAGGTCACAAAAATTGTAGGTCAACAATTTCCAGAAATTCTCTGTTCATTTGCACAGCTTGTAGAATATGGTTCATATTTTCATATAGTGAGTTTCCTAAAAACAAAGAAAAATGGCTCAAAGATGCCTGTCCAGCTTTATAATTACATACATTTTAGAATATTATACCTCATTATAAATTTGTGCACTCTCAGTGCCAATGGCTAAAACTGTGCCACATGCCATTCCATATTTTGTCATGCAGACCAGTCATGCACGGTCCAAAATATTCAATTATGTTTACTGATGTATTGAAACATGGGGATATTAGACGGGTAAAGCAGAACAGGCTGAAATTTAGTGGGTATAAAGTGCAAACCATGAAATGTTTTATTATATGTTTATTAAGTTATGGAATATCATTATAGATTTTTTTGTAGCAGTGATGCTCCTGAAAGCTTTTGATAAAAAATGGGATGATTGAAAATGCAATAACAATTCATTGCGATTTTATTTTGCAGTAGTGAAGCCCACGAATGCTGCAAAGGGAGGGGGGATGGTTTGTCAAAAATCAGATATCAAAGGTCAGTGAACTATCTGGCAATTACAACACAGAAAAAAACAACAATTACACAAATATTGTCTAATACTGTCAAATATAACCCAGTATTTTATGATTACGGTGAAAATGACAGTAGAGATTGAGTCATTTATTGCAAGTTATAAACAGTAACCCAGGTAAAGTGGTGGTTTTTTGAGGGAGGGGTAAATAGGCCCATCGGTTTCCACAGTTTGATTGTGGTCTTCTAATGGATATAATCAGATTTGGGCAACATTTACTGCTTGTATAACAGAAGTGAAACCCAGAGGAACAAAAATAAAGGTTAAAAAAGAAAGCATTAAAGTACAGAACAGCATGCTAAAATATTAAAACCATAAAAATGCGTGCTTAGCAAATGCCAGCATTATTTATTTGGTGGTAAGCATTTGAGATTTTTGTCTGCTTTGCCATAATTTATGCTTTAATGCTTTACTGTGCACATAGCTTGTACAAAATATGGTTTCACTTATACTGCAAAACAATGAATGAAGAAATGAATATTCATGTTTAAAAAAACCAGTTGATCCTGCACCTCTACTAGTTAGTTTTTATAAAACTAAGGGATAACAACCCTTCTTATGAGATTCAAAATTCCACAATGAATACATTTAATCAACACATTGAGAGATTATTTAAAAAACTACACTTTAAAAAAATAATACATAATCGCAATTTTTGAATGTCTGAATGGATTCATTTGCCATTGAAAAATATGAGAAAGTTGTCATTTACCCAAAGAAAAATGTGTTTTATGGTACTTTTCATGCCAAAATAAAGATTTGCAAATCATGCTAAAATAAAGATTTGTCATTCCTGTAATATTTTGTTATTTCCCATATATGACTTTGTTAATTGATTCTTTTTCTCTTGTTTTAAATCTATACAAACCTGTCTGACTTTCAGCTGGGAACCTTTGTTTAGAACATAAGTAACTATTGGAATTTTCTGAGTAACAAAATACTGTTTGTAATATTTCTACAATTAATTTGATTTAATTTTTTTCAAATTAACAGATGAAGGAGAAAAGAAGAGACGGATGGAAAAGCTAGTACAGACAAGAGATAAGAAAAAGGTGCCAAAGACTGATATTCCTGTGACGCAGATCAAGATGGAAGAGCCCTCCTCCACCTCAACATGCAGGTTATTATCTATTCCACCCCCATCATCCTTTGCACAGGACCAGACCAGCAATACAAGGTGCCTTTCTGATGATGAATTGGCTTTCTTGACCACACTTCAGGCCAACTATGATATGTCTCTGGGCATAGTGGCAGACGAGCCCTTAGAAGAAGAGTATAAAACCCTGGACAATCTAGTCAACTCCACTGGGCGAATCATCCGCAGACTGATCACGTTTGCCAAAAAGATTGTTGATTTTATGACACTGAGCCAGGAAACACAAATTGTCCTTTTGAAAGGCACGTCCATCAATTCTATATACATCCGTTCAGCCACCCTGTATGATGCAGTAAAAGATGCCTGGGTTTCCCCCAGAGGTGTGGTATCAACATCGATCTTGAAGAGAACAGCAGGCCAGATACTTAATAGGTTCCAGGAGGACCATGTGAAGATTTGCAGGAAGTTCAAGAAGTTGCTGGGCAATGATTCCACAGTATTGGTGATTCTGCAGGTCATTTCCCTGTTCTCCCCAGAGTATGTCAGCCTGACTAATAGAGCTATCATTTCCAACATTCAGGACAGGTATCTGACCCTGCTCAAGCATTACTTTGAGGCCAAGTTCTCGTACAGAGAAGCAAGACGCATGTACCCTGCTGTGCTGTCGATTCTAGACGAGATGAAGATGTTCACAGAAGAACACGGCAGGGTTCTGCTGCATGTTAATGTGGATGAGATAGAGCCAATATTGCTGGAGATATTTGACATTCGTTAAGCATGCCTGTTGTCCTAACACGGAGGAGACCAAAGACATTTTCATGTTTTGATCACAGTTGGATTTTCCTCAGGTTCCTTATTAGTTATGTGGAGGTTTAAATATTGCAGGATCATGATACGCAAAATATTTATGGCAAAAATATTGCCAATATTTCATGAGCTTGGATTAGTGATATAATTGTTTAGTAATATCTTAAATATTATTAATTAATCCATAATTATAAGGAGAAGTAGTCAATATGAATGATTCATTAATACAGTGTGTGTGTGTGTGTGTGTGTGTGTGTGTGTGCACATGTGTGCTTGCAAATCTAAATATATTTAGAGATAGTTTAAGATATATGGTTTACATTACTCACCAACCGAATTAGTTAAATAAGATTCTTGTAACAAAACAAATGCGCTATCTGTTTGGATGGTAAAATAATCTGTTATTGATCTTCTAAAAGATATGGTATGGACCAGGCATGTTATGCATCTGTGGTCCACTTTAAGTTGTGAAATGAGGATATAATTCATTGTGACCCCTGAAGAATTGTGTACAGGTATAACCTGCCAAACGTACACCATCGAAAATTATATTAAATTTATATATATGAAAGAAAGGTCAAGTGAAATGTGATGGAAGTGAAACCATTTAGTTCACTTACCAAGATGTATACTGAACAAAAATATAAATGCCCTTTATTTTTCTTCAAATTTAGGATTGCATCTATTTTAAATAATACTAAATCCCTTCTGTTGATCATTCTGTGAAAAATTACTGTCCATTAGAAAAATTGGGCAGGGGGGTGGGGGGTGATCACGTAGAAACAGATCACCACGAGATGTCTTGCATGTCCAACATTTGGTGTCAGGCATGCCCCGTGAAAATGTTAATCTACTTCTGTAGTCTTTATGGAGCTTAGGGATGCTATCTGGAACATGACTGGGGACAAGTCTTTGGAGAACAACCCAGATGAATTTACAGGCCAGTCAAGTACTGGAATGAGTTCATACCAGTGGCATGATTTGCTATGTATGTGTGAAATGATAGGTTTTGATGAAGTTTGACATTTTGGGGTTAGCTTGGCCTTTAATTGTTTAAGCAGGATTGGACATGCCGTGGCTGTGGTATGGTTGAGTTACTGCATCCCTGTGTGCATGTTAGTGCTCTCTGGAAGAGGCAGACACAAATTTTGGTGTTATTATTAATTGATGAGAATTAAAAATTTTCCACAGTTATAAAACGATATTAGCTCATTTAGGATGCCCTATTTCATGCTACGTAAGTACTTGACATGGGTCGCTTATAATTTTGCTCAGTATATATCAAGCTTTACAACAGGGAAACATTTCCAAGTCACAGAGGCACAGGAGTATTGATCTATTTTGCTGTGGTATTTAGTTCAGTGATGAGGCAGAGATATCAGATATGCTGGGTGAAGAAGATTCTGTTAGTAGGAGTATACACACTGACCTGACTTGTAGTGGGATATTTATGACCATGTTCAAATTTAAACATTGTACCAACTGAATCGATCCAACTCTGCTGGAGATTCTCGCTAAAGTGCATTCAGGGTAATCAGTATAATTGTCTGACATGCCTCTCAGAGCAGCTAGTTAATTGGTTAATAACCCCCATAGCAACCCGAGGAGGCCCATTACAGTGATTGCACTTAATTAGAATCTCCTGCAGAGTTGGATTGATCCAGTTAGTACGATGGGTTTATCTGAATGCTCCCAATGTTGTCACATACCACAAATAAAGTTGAATTTATGTAGCAATTATTGTTTTATCTTAATGCTAGAAACTGAAGCTAACAGTTAAAGTGTGTTTAAACAACACTTTCCTGTGAGTTTGATCATAATTCTTCATCCTATTATATTGTGAGAGTAATTCAAAATTTTTATGTGAGAACTGAAAATCTTTATTTCTTATTTATAGCACTTGTGTTACATTAGGTTATGTTATTATTTATTATTGTCACTGAATATTGTTTTTGCACCACATGCGGTCCCTAATTTCTGGTAAAATCAACAAGAAGTGCTATGCAGATCACATACAGGTAACAGTGCTATTTTATTTGATTATCGGCATTGTTTATTCTGTATCCATATGCCTGTGTGCAGGCTGGTAAGAATGGGCAACATATTAAACTTGCTCATCTCGGCAATAGAACAGTCAAGGAGATACATTTTGAAAATTTGAGAAAAAAATGGGAAATTAGTACAGGATGCTTTATACTTCTTCTTGGTGTATTATATTGTAAATATTGTTGTAGCATGATTAGCTTTTAGGTGATAATTAGTGCTCCCAACTGTGATATGTATGGTATGGTGTGGAAATTTTGTAATTGATTGGCATAATAAAGCTTAAAGTCATATTTTTATTTTTAATTTTAACAGTTCAACAAATTGGGTCTTAGTTCATTTAACCAAATGTAGGTGTGTCCAAAAACCTTGCTAAATCATGTTAACTTTGTATTTTCATTTGATTTAAAATTTAGATCTTTTATTGTGTGACATATACCAATCTAAGTATTGCTCTGTAGGTAATCTGTGTCATTGTTGAGAAGCATAGTTATTCTATATACTTGGAACAGAAAATTCATCCTTAATGTTATATACCCTTCTTTATATCAAATTATTTATTTTTTTTATTTTTTAATCATGTGTCAGGCTATCATATCTGGCAGGTATGCTGATCAACATATTGTGCAAAGGTGCCATTTGTACCTGTAAGTTGAAATATCTGGTAGTGTTTTCCCACCACAACCCCTAGAGATGAAATTGCCAAAATTGGTATTTATGTCTCCTCCATCTCAGTGTACCACAAACTTTTATAGTCTCGTTCATAGCAAGAAAGAAGGCAACAAGGAATATTGATTGTTCGTGATTTGGCCAAACAAGGCCGCTTTTATTATGTAACCCCTCTATCCTAATCGTTTTAACAATAATAACATTGTAGAAAATTGTTGCCTGTATTAAATGTTATGGCCTTAGGGATAAAAATTATATATCGAATATTCAATAAGGCTCATCATCCTAAAAATTATGATGCGACGAGTCAGCAAAAGTTATTATTTACCAACAATTTTGCATAAATTTCATTTGTGGGGTTGCAAAGAGGCCACTTTCCTTAGTTTCTGACAATTACAAAGGTATGAAGAACAATCTGCTGCCACAGATTTTTGATAACATCTTTTAAGTTGATGTTAGGCAGTATTGTTAACAAAGGTCCATTGAAAATTGGTGTAATTTTAAGTTATTAGTGATAAAATCTAAGCAAAGTAATTTTTTGGAAAATTAATTGCACCATCCTAAAGAAATTGTGCAAAGCTTATATTTGTCGTTGAACTTTTTCTAATTCAAGTTGGTAGAGAATGTCAAGAAACCAAAAACAGCACTTTCACCCCAAAACGAGTGATGTGACCTCGTCAACAAAATGGCCAGACTTTCCTGATGACAAAAAACATCCATGAACATTATGTGATAATATTTTAACTCCAGTTCTGTCTTTTAGTTTTGATTTTGAATGAAAGGGTATATAACTTAAGGATGTATTTAAATTTCCTTTTTGCTTGATCACGAAATTGGAGTAAATATGTTAAACACGCTATGTAGTATGTATGCACATGCTTCTGTATTAGTTATATCATTATATAGATGTTTAGTACTGCTCTATGTAGGCTCTGCATTCCTCTAAAGTTCTGGGCATACTAACTGTACTTGCACTTTGATCGCTCCTTCAGTTTAAATAAGTTAAATTTGAATTTTGTCATTCTGTATGACAAGATTTTTTTGTAAATCTAAAAAATCAAAAAAAAAAAAAATGCACTTCACATTGTAAGAAGTGTCATCTGATACCTCATTTTAATGCAATCCCTTCAAGTGATCAAGTAACATAGTTACATAACTCCAGAACAGTCTTGTGTTACCTGCAGTGTTTACCTTCCAGTTTTGAAGGGAAAAATGAATGCAATTTGGGGCACAATCAGCAGATGAGGTGCCAGAAAGTAATAATAAAGCCCACAAACCAGACTCTGTGTAATAGTAGTAGGTGTTGAACTAGCACATTAACATCATAAGGAAGGTGGATTTCCACTAGGAGTGGTATCCTGGGAATGACTTTCTTGGTAACAATATCCAGATTAGGCTTACGAAAAGGCAAACTAGAATTTTCCTAAATAATGGTTGAAAACAATGTTATTGTGAAAGTGATAAAAAAGGAATGCAACTTGGTGTTAAAAAATTTAGTATGATAAATATTTTGGGTATACAAGTAACATTTATGCAAAAAGTTGAGTAAGATATTTTAGGGTTAATAAGTATCCCTTTAACAAAATATTACTATAATTATTATTGAATTAAATTATATATATAATTGTTATGAAAGGATTCCAGAGTTTCTTAATGATTTATATTTGCTTTTGTCATTAAATAGAAAGGTATTATAGGAAAAGGGGTGGCAGAACTTGCTGTTTAGGCAAAACTGTTAGTCATGTTAATATATATATGAAATAGATATTTATTGCATAATTCCCATCACCAATGGTCATTAATTGACAAGGGCTTAATGTAAAAGTCCTTTATCTCCATTACCCAAAACCTAGGTATCTGTAGTATTTCTTTTCCAGGGATTATTGCACTTGCAATTCAGGCCTACACTTGCCTGAATTTTAATATGCTTCAGTGCTTTCTGTGCTCTTTTCTGTCCACTTTTAAGCTAATACAAGTTAAATTATCCTATTGTTTGAAGCACCAGCCATGAGATAAGTAAGTTACAAGCACTTGTAGCCCACTATATGCTGATTGTAGGCATTGTCTTAGGCATTACACTCTTGCATATCACATACAATGGGTGGCTCGTCTTGTAACTTTATGTAATACAAACTTACCTGGTAAATTTGTGGCCCCAGTACATTTTAAACATTAATGGATCAGAATAAATCTGACTATTCAATAGTTAGGTGTTTTATAATGACAGTTAATTGAGAATAAAAAATGCACCATGCAATTTGGTAACTGATGTATCACCTAGGTACACTGTATAATGTGAACAATTATTTTTAGCTTTCAAGTGACACTAATATGAAAAATCATATTTATTATCTAAATTAAACATGTTCACTCTAAGTTTGTGTTATCAAATAAATACCGATGCCTTTAATCTCTTCAGAGTGTTCACATTGATATATGGCATGCTTGTGCCTATATATATTTCCACAAAGTTTAATGTAATTTGTTTTTAAAAATAAAATAAAAAAATAATGGGAAAAGATTTGTGATATGGTCTCATTGAATTAAGTTTGCATATGGCTTTGATCAAAAATGGACAGATCTAGTATTCATTTTAGCAAAGATGAAAAGTTGAGCATTGCAAAAAAGAATAAAACTGAATGGAATCCACAGATACTTCTTGGTTGCTTTCTCTGTAAATTGAAGTCTTTTCACTTAAATGCAAATCCACCTTAATTCAAATGCCACTTTTACATTGCTTCCTGATTTCTTATATGACATAATGCAGTGTCAACGTCATTTTAGATTATCCCCTTTCCATGAAATATATTACCTTGAGAAGTTGTAAATTTACATGAGGCTAACTAGTATGAAACCTGGGTCATATCCATTGCGTTAATTACCTAGCATTTGTCTGGAATTTTGGGCATAGTGAAAAACAATACTATTTTGCAGTTTTACTTGTGACCAAATTTTCTACTGTGCAGCAGTCTAATTAAAACATAATTTTAGGTTTCAACTTTTAAAGGAAGTAAATGATATGTTTTTATCCATGTGCAGTAACTCATTTTTAATTCTTTAAAATATTTAATCCACTATAAATTACGAAATTAATATTGCTTCTAATAAATTTTAGCACAACTTACAAAGGAGGAAAATAAGTTGTAATTTATAAATGATATACCAGTATAATGATTTGTTGCATAAATTATGTGTTTGCTGTAGCCATGGCTTAAATATGTGTATATAAGAAGTTAAATATAACTGATAAATATATATTCATTACCTCCACCAAGGAGGTTATGTTTTCAGTTCTGTTTGTTTGTTTGTAAGCAACATTATGCAACAAGACATGGGACAATTTTGATGAAATTTTCAATGTAGATCAGAAATGGGCCAAGGAACAAATGATTAAATTTTGGAGTGATTAAATTTTGGAGGTGATCTGGGTAACCATTCGTAACTATTTATATCAGTAAAATGCAGCATTGTACAGGTGTCGTTTGTGATAATCTCTATTCATCCTGTCACGCATGGGCCATGATCTCCACAACTGGCTTCTCATAAACTAGACTACTTCTGTTGCAACTTCTACAAGGACAATCTATTACAGCATCAATTGGAGGGATAAATGCTTTATTCGTTTTTTTTTTTTTTTTTTTTTTTTGGGGGGGGGGGTGAAGTGTGAGTACTGCCTCTCACTATGTTTCTCAAATAATTGGATGATGTTCAAGTGTATCAAATAATAAAGAGAATTGACTTGCCTTGGCAGAGGTCTGTGCTCTCTGAGTGCTTTTCTAGTTCAAGATAATATTATTAGTTTGTTCAGTTGAAGAATAGACTTTCTCCCTCTTTATAGTGGTGCCTTAGGTTTTTGTTTTGATCAGTAAGCTATATTTGTGTCTGTATTTGTCAGTAGAGTTGCTTATTTTCTACTCTCCACAACTTAATCTTCAGGGTATGTCCTGTATGTTTCATGGGAAATGTGTGGTAGATGTGGCAACAAGACGGTTCTGTTCTCACTGTCGCCTAAAAAAGTGCTTTGCAGCAGGGATGAAAAAAGACATGATCTTAGGTAAATATGAGCGTAAATGTGGGCTATCAAATTAGATATACCAATTTTTTCCCTGGGCTATGAACTGCTTTTTTCAAATGAAAGAAATAGAGGCAACAAAGATATGTAATCAAGCTAACCATTGAAAGTTTCTGCCAGTCCCAGAGCTGCTTTAAACTGAAGGTCTTTTAGTTTCTGAATTTGAAAATGGGAATAATTATAGAACTAAAGACTTGAGACATTTTCAATACAAAATGTTACCTTTGTCACTACTAAAAAGTTCAATTTTGCAGATGAAGTTGAAAAAAAGAAGAGGATTGAAAAGGTCCAGCAAAACCGCGAAAAAAGAAAAAGTACAAAAACTATTCATGAAGCCATTATACATGAGGAGGAATCTGCCTCCTGTGATGGCCTACCATGTTCAGATGTGCAAGCCCATTTTTTACTGGACCCCACTTTGCCACCAGAAGATGCCACACCCACCACCCGCCGCCTAACAGATGAGGAGCTACTCCTAATAACCAGTCTGCAGAATTTATATAGTGCCACACTAGGCTATGTTGTAGATGAGGCTGTTTCCCAGAGGAATTCCTTGAGTAACCTAGTTAACATGACAGGGAACATTGTGCGCAAACTTATCAAATTTGCCAAGAAATTGCAAGATTTTATGTCTTTGAGTCAGGACTTGCAGATTGTGCTTCTGAAAGGGGCCACAATGAACTGCATCCTGCTCCGCTCTGCTGCTTATTATGACGTCGACAAAGATGCCTGGATAACACCACATGGAGAAATTCCCACTCTCATTTTGAAAAATGTCACCAGCCATACTATGATGCCACTGTATGAAGACCACCTCTACATCTGCCGCCGCTTGAAAGAAGCTGCAGGAAATGATGTCAATCTCTTTGTACTGCTGCACGTACTGTCAGTTTTCTCTCCAGAATATGCAAATGTTGCAAGAAGAGCCCTTATTTCTAACATCCAAGATCGTTACTGTGTACTTATGAAGCATTACATAGAAGCTACATATTCCTACTCTCAGGCCGTGTCCCTGTATCCAACACTTCTTCAAAGACTCAGCGAAATCAAGCAGTATTCTGAAAAACATGGCAAGATTCTTCTGCATGTTAATACCAGTGAGATAGAACCAATTTTACTGGAAATTTTTGACTTAAAGTAATTTAATTGACACCTTTGAGGGAAGAAATCAAATGTCAAATTATTTTGCACAGGTAACTTTTGATATAGAGCATGTATGAATAACTTTTGATATAATTTCCTGACTCTAGCTGTCAGTGCTTAACTCAAATCTATAGATAATTCGTTTTCATGCTTTCTAATACCCTACATGTAATAACATTGTATAAGGGGTGAATTGGAAGTATGAGCATCCATTTTATCATCCTACAATTTAATGCAGAATGTATGCCTTCTTTAATAAGCTTTTATATAGTTTTTGGAAATGAGTTATGTTGTACAGTTTTTCACGACCACTGTAAAGAAAGTTTAATTCATTCTGAATTTGGTGGGACATACTCCACCAAATATTTAAGGTATGGTCGAATTTCTTTTATCACATTTACATATATAATGTCTGTTAGTGATTGTATTTAAGGAATGATAATTTATAGATACAAACAGTACCTATAGTCAAGTGCCTTGTGCCCTGTTCAATTTTGTGTCACAGGTGTTTGGAAATGAATGTAATTTTACCACTCTGTCATGATAATTGAGGAGCTGTAAACAGCATTTGTCCTTTTTTTTCCAAAAGGAGTTGCCATGAGTACGATGAAACCCAAACTGCTATTTTTATGTAAGATAATTAAGTGCCAAAGAAACATGTATACGTAATTTCTCATTTGAGTGGCACATCCTGTGTTAATTATCATGCCAAATTATTGATTTTTAGGTGTGCTGATGTGTCAAGCAGCTGTGACACCTTTGATTAATGACAGGTGTTTGAAGCAATGATTGAAATCATCGTGAATTTATTTGTGAAATATAATATTTGTTTCAGCATCCATAGAAACCTGTCCAGATCAAGTTTAAGTTTAGCCACGTTGAAGAGATACTTTGTATACATTTTTTTAATGCATAAGTTCTTAAAATTTAATACTTAAATACAGCAAATAAAAAATGTCTTGATGCAAATTTCTCTGGAGTTTGAAATTATAAACCCAAAATTGTAACCATATTTTTCATTGACCTTTTCATGTTAAAAATCATTAATAATGAGGACCAAGTGACTGAAAACATTAGATGCCCCCATATCAAATTTAAACCTCTAAAGCAATCTACATCAATGGTGTGAATCTTCTTCACAAAATTAGGTATTGATACAGTGTAGTACATTTACAGTGTCTGTACATTTTTCCATAACTATTGCCAAAGCGTTACCACAATAACTGAAAAGTAAGGTTACCATTAATTTTCCTATTGTGAAAAAATATCATTGGAAACTAGGCATAATTTGATTTAATTTTACATTTTTGCAATTTATTCTCCACCTCACTTGAGCTGTGTTTTGTTCATACGAGAATTTTCTCTTCTCAAAGGTAAATACTGGCTCAATAGGTTGGTTTCATCCAAAAGTATATTCCATTCTTCCTTTTTTCCAAAATGTCAGTTACAAAAGCACATTTCTCTAAGTCAACCATTATTCAGTAATTACAACAAATCTGGAAAAATAATTTAGTTTTGTTAAAATGTCTTTAAAGATTATTTTTATGCATTTCATAAAATTCGTATTGTAATCTTGCTGCTGTTGAAATTCAATTTGCACATTTTTGCTAAATGCATATATATATATATATATATATATATAACGTATATATTACTTAAAATGCAAAGAAAATTTAGAAGCTAGTCATATGGTTAACCAAATGTCAATAACAAGCCTTTGGGTCATGTTAAACTTTTATTTATTATGGCTACTGACCACATGGCTGGGGCTGAAACAATGCCTGTATAACAAGAACATTCTTAGGTGATCTTTAAAAAGCAGAGTGTTGTTTATTTATCAGATATCACCATTCTGGCAAAAAATCTCATTTGGCAATGGGTAACCTTGCTGCCACTACTGCAAAATGCTCCACAAGTAGTTGATACTACATTAATGATTCCTATAACATGACTTTGCTTTAAGTTCACAATATCCTAGATTAACAGCTAACCCCTTATATTGCTAATGTCAACTCATTTGCCACTATCATAGTCAACATAAAACTGAATGGCACTGAAGATACTTAAAGACACATTTTATAGCCTCAAAGTTAAAAAAAAAAACTGGCAAATATACAGACACCATACAGAAAACAAAGCAGCAAAGCTGTCAAATGTTCAGACATTATGCAGAAACAAGGCAGCAAAGCTGTCAAATGTACAGACAAAAACAGAAAATAACAAGACAGCACTGTTCTGAAATGGGTTTATTTCCATTTTTAACAATTTTTAACATAAAAAAAAATTAACAGTTTACAGCCAATTTTATATGATCAACTAAGAAAATTGATGAGATGGGAAAAATATCAATAGAATAGTGTTAAATGTCCAATTTCTTCCATTCTGAGATTCTGGACATAGTGAATGATTCAATCTGACAAACTGCAATGATATGAGTTTATTTCCATTTTTGAAACTTTATTACACAATACACAATAAAAAGTTTAACATCATTTTTACAAAATCAACTAACAATGTTGTAAAGATGCAGGAAATGTCAAAAAAACACTTTTACATATCTTATTAATTAAATAATGAAACTGTTAACATGCCTAAGAATTGAATCTAAGGAAATGTAAAAAACAGCATAACTTCTAAAATAATGGCCCGATTATGCTGATTTTTTAACTTAACCTGCGTTTTAGCAGGATTGACCACTCCTGTGAGTTTAATGACAATTGGCCTATCTGTTTTTCTTATATTGTGTTTACAGTGTTGCATATATGCTGAAAAGTGAAAAAACAGCATAACTTCTACAATAATGGCCCGATCATGCTGATTTTCGAACTTGACCTGCGTTTTATGAATATTCATCAGCTCTGTAAATATAAAGCCAAAAAGTAAAACTGCCCTCCACTTATCGTGTTTACAAGGAAAGTGCACGGCGCCGGCATCGGCATCGCCATCGCCATCGCCATCGCCATCGGCGACGACAGACGCAGGTGATGGCAATATGTACAGACACATCTGTGTCTGTACAAAAAAAGTGCACTAAATAATGTTTTGGACAATTTTGATGCACTGTTACATAATGCTTTAAAACAGCATAATCACTCTTACCCTCTTACATTATGTACTACAGGTAACGTGGATATTGAAAAACTAGCAAGTGATTCGATTCCATGTGATATATAACAGAGACTGAAAATGCTAATGTGTGAAAAATGAAAAATGAGAATGATAACCATAAATGTAAACTGATAATGCTAAGTTTTAAAGCAACTTGCCTCTTTACCAAAGAAAGCCACACTGTAAATTTTAAGTAAAACAAAAAAAAAAAAAAATACGGTCTGGCAGTTATGGGGCGAACGTCACCAAAATTGTGCAAAAAAAACAGAATAATTACCATAAATGAAAACCAATCATGCTGATTTTCGAAAGCAACCTGCCTTTTTACCAAACAAAACCAATTGGTAAATTTGAAGTAAAAATACGGTTTGGAAGTTATGGGGTGAACGTCATGTGTCAGACAGCAATGGCGACAGTGACTACGCAGATGGAAAGACCAATCAGAATATATACAGACACTAACAGTGTCTGTACATAAAAAATAATTAAAAAGGAAAATTCAATTTAAATAATTTGTAACTAATATCAATATATTACACACACCCAGTTTTACATTTACAATCAATAGCTAAAAAAGTTTTGAACTGCTTGTCACTTCCAATTGCTGCACAACATGCTTTGCAATACAAAATTGTGAAACCACTAAATAAGAATGGAAATTCAGTACTCGTTCTACATAAAGACCAACCTTTTAAAATAAACTTTTAATTTACCCTTCAACATGAGGAAGAAATAGAAGATTTTAAATTTTGGTAGCTTATTACCACAGTCCATAGGGATCCTTATTAAATCATGCCAGTGCCCTTAAAGAAATTAACCCCAAACTTTGGGCAACCTCTTAAAATTGCAGAGGTCACACTCATTGCACTTGTGGTCAGGGCCTCAATACAAAAAAAAAAAAAAAAAACTAAGAGAGATCTCTTTCAGATAAACAACCAGAAGAAAGCCAATAACAATGTGCTTCCTATCAAAGATATTTAGTGAGTAGATCAAAGGTGGCACACACATGTATATAGACATTTATAAGACTCAAAGAAACAATAAATGATGCTTTAAGTAAGGTGGGCAATTTTCACACTCATTATCTTTTTAGTAAAGCAGAGAAAAAGGTAACATTTAAGTGACACTCAAAATGCAACAGACTAATTGGTGATAACTATAAAAGAGAAAAAGACAATTACTGGTATAGTCCCTGCACCAAGGGATAAATTATCTGTTTTTAAATTTTACGTTCACAAAAGTAAAACACAATCTCTTACTGTTTGTGTACTGTAGAATGCTACATAACCATAAACCTTGCTGATGAAAATGCTGTTGCCAGTTACTCTGAGACTCGTAGCCAATAAAATCACTTGTTGGCTAAACTGCTTTTTCCTGTATTCTCCTAACTGGGATGAGATGCATTCTCTAAGGTTATTCACTTTCAAGTGACCCACCTAATATCAAATTTTCAGATTGTGACAGCTTATAAACAGTATCATTCTTCGTGCACATTTAACACAGTCCACTTCTTGTTTGCTGAAGAGTTAGCCTCCCTATGCAGGATTTTTAACATAAAAACAGTAATTTTTAGGTAAATATATCATTAAAAGGTATAGGGTAAACAATGACACTGATGACAAGGACAAAAACAGTGATCAGAATACATACAAAGTAAAGTTTTAAGTAAAACAAAAATATCATTGGAAGTTATAGAGTATAGCCCTAACCAACTACCAGATATGGCACTGAAGGATCATGAATTCACCGTTAGATCAGATTGCGTTACCGGTTTTCAAGGTGTGTATCAGTGCGCATTTCACAGTATCATACCCCAGGGCAAATTTTGTCATCATATATACTTGCCCCGTCAAACACATCCATCCCTGTAGCCATGAAAACTTTATTTAACTCTCTTAAAAAGAGGATATGCTTCTGCTGACAGAATTAGATCTACGATACTAAATTAATATTAAAAGATTGCTCCTATTTATTTACATAACATCATTGGCTATGTTCAAACCTGAACTTAATGTTAAAAAATCACGGTATTGTTCGATTTATTACATAAAACAGGGAAAATAGCAGCAGCGCATGTATTTTGATGAAATGCACTACTTTCCAACCCTGCGCAGAATCATTGCTATCACATTGTGTACCAGGCAAGAGGGTGCCACTTCTGTTACTTCAAGTCTGTAATGATACACACCTTGAAAACCAGTAGCGTGATCTGATCTACTGTGAATTCTGGATCATTCGGTGCAGCGTCTAGTAGTTGGGTAGGCCTGGAGTGAACACTGATGACAAGGACAGACAGTGATCAGAATATACATTTTAAGTGTCTGTATATGAAAATACATTTCACTTTAACTCATTTTATTACATAATGCTTGGAAACCTAATCTTCATATATATCACACTCACCAAAGTTATTCTAAAGGCCCACTCCCAATGAAGCTATCGTTTTACATAGATTGATCTAATTCTATGGGGACTCTTGCTGAATGCAATGACAGATTAACAGATAAGCAAACCTCATTTCCACCTTGTAAAATCACCAGCTTTTCTGTATTCTGCTCCACAAGGAAGCATGTCTATCTGATTGCAATCAGCAAGATCTACGTAGAATGACAGTTTCACTGGTAATGAGCAAGTCCTAAGAAACAGTTTAACTGATGTCTACCAGAGGTGGTTGGTTAGCGAGTTAAAAAAATTGTTTTCATGAAAATTTCAGCAACAGGAATGGCCTTAGGTTACCTAAAACATTAAATGTACTCAATTAAACAGGCTAACCTATTTAATTCAGTGCAAACAAATGGTTAGTCATCAAAACATGTGCTCAAATAATTTGAATACATTTGATCTAAAAATTCCAGAACAATTGAAGTTTTTCTCTGTATAGCCATATGCATCTAACCAAGAGAGTAACTTCCAGTATGTAACCCACATTTAGAAAGTAGATCTACTCCCTTAATTTAACAATAAAGACCAAATTCGTTATTTCCAAAACAGAAATATGGGTAGAATGATAATAAATAACTTCAAATATCACAAAATAAACAATAACTTTTGGAAAATTATCCGCTGCTGCCATGCACAATTTTCTAATAAATTTCACTAGTACTTTAAACCAAAATACATGTATATAAAAACAGCTCTTAATTCAAACTAAACAAGAACACACTGTTTTAAAACTTTCATCAGTAATGATTCTCTGTAACCTGCTTATGCACACACATAAAGCTAATAAAAAGAGTTTAATTAAATTTGATGCAATAAAAAATACTACCACAAATAAATTAAAGAATGTAGCTAACCTCATGGAAAAAATAACTTCATATGGAAGATGATAGCACACAAAAATTGAAACAAAAATGAAGTTTAAAATGTAAAGAGAAACAAAGAAAATATTAACTTCATTACAGCCTGAGATTGAAATGAACTTCTCAACTCCTGAAAATGCTGGTTCCTGAAAATTACACATGAAGATATTCCACAAAGTCATCTTTTTAGCATTGGCAATCAATAGCTAATCATCTTGAGTAAAATCTTTTATCATTTTTAAGTTTCTTGAGACTGTTTTTTAACACATACAAAACATTCTAAGTAACTTCAACCAAGATCTAATAAACAAGTTGCTGACCAAAAATGGGTTTCATTGAACTGGAAACTTCAAAACTGCAAAAAATCAGAGACTACTGGAAAAATAGCTTTCTTTCCACAAATCTGTCTGCCAAAAATACCCCAAACATTTATCAGCTAAATACAAATCTACAGTATATAAAAGCAAACAAATTTAAAATAAAAATTTTCCCCTACTCTGCCGGACTAATGTCATTTAGTAATATAAAATTTTACAATAAAATGTTCCCATGTTCATGCCATAGGGCTATGTAGTATTATAATAGAGTTTTTTCTTGAAACTGGGGCAGCTATACTATGATATAAAATTATGGGTTCAAACTAGCTTTTGTTCAGTTAAAGGGGGGGGAATCTAAATTTTGAACAAAATTAGCAATAAAAATGGCAAGAAGGGTTTTTTTTTCTTTTTCTGCAATCCAATGGCCATGAAAAGTTATTTGTGAGCCAACCTGATTCTCTTGAAAAATCAGTGACATAATACGACCTACATCTTCATTCTACACTTTACTTATCAAAAACAGTTCAGACACCATGTTTTCAATATCAACATATGTGTTTTAGCAGACCATACATAATTACCTGATTGCTGAAAATTCATTGCAACTGTAAGTGTACAATTTACAGCTGTATATTTAATAAATTATTTTTAAAATTCAGTGCTCTGTATTAACAGCATACATTTAATGATAGGCAAGCCAGTGCAGTACCTTTCACAGTTAAGCTTTCCTAAATTTCTAATAAATTGAAAAAATAAACTATGGACATACACAACTTTAAATCATCCAACCAGTATTACTTGAGGTAATATAACAATTGTTATGACAATATAGTCTTGAGCAAGTGTGCTGTACACGAATAAACACAGGCAATCCTATGTACATGCGTTTTTTCAAAATAACACTTAATGATAAAAATATTTAACATAGTCACACCATCTCACAAAAATTATTTAATCCCAATCTTTCAGTTTTTTTTCTGTGCACTACTGGATAAACTCTTAAAATGGAAAAGTTTTAAATCATATGTATGTGTATACCCTGTTCAAATTCAAGAAAGATGTTCATATATGATTCTATTTGCCAATTTTATATGCTGAGTACATTTATACAATAACTCAGTTGTATCAATATGAAAAATGAAATATTTTGACATATTAGGTGCAAACCAAAAAAAAAAAATCCTTTTTCCAAGCCTTTCCTGAAGTCCAATATCTCATATAATAAAAGCACACATAGTGGACACTGCCTTCAATCCTGCTGTGGACTTCTTCTGTGGTTCTTTCTAATATAGTGTTTTTTTCTAATCAACATTTAAATTAATTGTTGCAAGCCTATCTCTTTTTGTGCACAGCAACTAAGCTTTTTTTCACAGTGATTTACAAGGCGTCATGTCCCATGTACACTAGGCTGTTTTAGTACCTTTCCATCACTGCAGGGATCACAATTTTTTTTATCTTTCACATGTTCGAGTTGACCTCTGCTATGGCCCCCACTTTGTCCCTTTATACCAAATAGTTGGCTGTCCATAATGCTGGCAAGTGGAACATTTCTCAAAAGATACTTAACCAGAAGCTGCTGCATGAGACCCATTGGAGCAAGACTTGAGGCTTGTGTGACCTTAATACACCACATTATAATCAAACCCTATTGATCACTAGTTGCAAGGCTGTTACAAGTGTTTTGAACTGTTCCATACACTCACAAAACCCCTAAGCAACAGATGAAGGTGATGAAGAGACCAAGAAGAGAGATCACTTGGATTCCCTGTGACCAATGGTGAGAATAAACCAAACATTTGTTCTCCAAGCAGTCACAAGTCCTTAAAATTCAAAAGTAACCTAATTTGTTCAATTCTAAATGCTATAGTAAAAGCAAACTAGACATATTACCCTAAAAATCGCCTAATAAAATGACAACAATTATCAGATATGATAATGTAAACAAACATTTGGACAATTTTTTTTCACAGGAAATAAGCCTCTTTAACCTACCAATGTCTTTAAAACACACATAAGTGACCAAAGTTACCTCTCCCCCACACAAAATATAACAAGTATATATAGTGCATCCTTCCAGTAGTTTGACACACATTTGATTTTAATATCAATGTTAACGAGCAATTATTAATACAAATATCTATATCATTGCTTTTCTGGAACCTATTTTGGCAACACCATCTTTTTTCCCAATAAAAATGGCACCATTTACCCTCCACCCAAAAAATTAGGTACTTGTAATGTATTTCTACAAAAGATTCCTGCACCTGCCTCTCATTTGGTATACAATGTATTTTTGAAAAAGTAAGACATTAAACAAACCATAGAGAGCTACTGCATGGCAAGAAGTTTACTCGATGTAATGTTAATTTGGTGATCAGTCTTACATGATCATCTCAAAACCATCCTAGCAATCACTAAAGCTTTGAATTTCTGTATCCTCTTATATGGTCTTTACAAGCTTTCAACAAACATTATCCAGTGACCTCAAATTATCAACTTTGAAAGACATAAACAATGTAACTCGCCTCACCTTCTCACTCAAGGCCAGTTCACACATGACACCTTTTTATAATACCATAAATATTTTGAGTTCAGTATTTCATGTGGTAACTTTTACAACATGGCTATATACCTTAAGTATATCACCAAACATATTGCATACTGTAACATTAAAAGAATGAAACCTGTTCATAACCTGTTTATACAGGTACTCTCTACTTGGTTTGGGTTTTCATTTTGAAAAAAAAAGGGTTAAAACTGGCATTGCCTCTACCTGGCTAATTAAAAATGGTTAAATGAGCTCTGGCATTTCTTCTGAACACAATTGGTCATTTAATGACAAAAACACTCATAAACAGTTAACATGTCAAGTATATTCAATATGGGCAAGAACTGTTAATTAATAAGTTTATGGCACTATGAACATATTACTTCTATGAAAGTTACTGAAGACTAAATATCTCCACCATCAGAGGTTCCATGCTGTGAATGTCTGCCTCTGAGGCTTTCTTGCTGGCTTCTTCGGCTCTCTCTCTCAAATGAACTAACTTCATAATGAGCTTGGGAAAAATTTTCCTTGCTTCAGACAATGGATATATTGACTCCAAGTACCTATGCAGAAGTTCTGCAAATGTTTCTTGAGCAGTGCTGACAATCTCCAGGTTCCCTAAACCAGGACGGTCAGGTGAGAAAATCTCAATTAGAAGAAGACATAGCATTGTCTTAAGGTCATTTTTCGCCAACCTATGGAACTGACAAAAGAAATCTGTCTCATTGGAGCTTAGTAAGGAGGGAACCTTCAGTGTACTTTGAGCAGTTTCATTTTGTCTGGAAAAGGTAAAAGCAGAGATTCCTGGGTTGAACATCATGGCACCACGTAGCATCAGTATACACATTATGCCTCCCTAAAATGTAAAATCAAAGATATGGTCATTCATAGGCAGAACACTTCTTATATTATAAATCCTTTTGTATATTATGGATCAGTTTACTTTAAAAAATACTAAAACTTGCCCAAAAGAAATGATTGTACCAGCTTGTGGTTAAAATTCTTTTTAGCTGAGATACTTTCAAATATCCAGCTGCATGCCATATATTGCCCCTTTCTAATAAGATTTCTCTGTACATGTAACAAATGTCAAGTAGTCCTTCCTGTTGAAAGCCTTGCTTACCTTCAAAAGAGCTATCTGGTCTTCCTGGCAAAGACTTCGAAAGTAAGGGATGGTTTTACAGAATTTTATGAGCCGCCTTATAAATGTGTCAGCCATGTTGTACAAATGTCCATGGGAGGAAGGGGTTTCAGTGAGACGGCTGGCTACAGATTCAGAATAGGGTGAATTGAGGACCCTGTTATAATTATCCTCCAGTTCTTTTAATAGTTTCAGGTTTGTTTGGCTTAGAGGTATTGGTTTGTCTGCTGAAATAGTATCTGGTTTGAAAACATCTGAAGAAGAATTGCTGTTGTCCGAGGAGAAATACTCCTGGGAACTTGCAATGGGGGTACACCCAGAGCTGGTGGAGGCTTGGCTGTAAAGATCTGTAGGTTCTGGTTTCACTTCAACACTAAGGTCACACGACTCTAAACTTTTTCGTTTCCTAGGTGCTATTTTTTTCCTTTTCTTCAGCTGTTCTTCATCTGGATCAATGAAAAAAGTCCACCATAATTTTAGTTTATATTCATAAGCATTATTCCCTTTCTCAATGAAAAACTGCTAAGAAACAACTACCTTCAGTGAAAATCCTTAAAAAAAACCCTTAAAGTTTCATTCTGATATAAATTTATTCTTATGATGTAACTTTATGAAAAATAGTGCCATAAAGTCCATCAACTTTCTGTAACAGCAGAGATGAAATAACATACTTAATATCCAATCTTTCTTCATGCCCATTTCCAGACATTTATCCAAGCGGCATTTTGTACAAAACTTCCTTGAGAACTTATCTAGAGTACAGTTGCTGTCAAAATTGCACTTCAGGGGCTGAAAAAAAAAAACAAAGTTGATATGATAAATCAGGCTATAACTACTCTTCCTGTATATCGGGAATTTCCCCAGGATAGCAATAACAAACTACACCCAAAAGCAGGTGGTGAGTAGCAATACAGTGTGACGAGGAAGTGTGTCATGTACTCTTTTCATGAGTTCTTTTCCACTTTCCACTTTAAATACATCATAAAAGTATAACAAAATAATACTATTCCTTTTTATTATTTTTTTTAATATCACTATGATTATCTTTAACTATCTATAATTATCTTTAATTATAATCTTTTATTCTAATTCCACAAATTTTGATTGATTCAGCAATCATTTTCTTAGGCAACTGGCTGGGAAACCTTGCTGGGCTTGGCATGTCACAGTTAATTCCTTTTGCAAGAAAATTTTAAGTGAAACGTGAATGATTCATTATCTATCATGATATCACCAAACACAATGCTGTAAACTCAACTGTGATTTTGACACACTTAAATACTGGTATTATTTCATATCTTTCATTTCATTAATTCCAGTTTTAGAATATTAGAATAAAAGAAATGCAGCCTAATTCTAAATACAATAAAAATGCAAGACAAAAATGGTGAGGCATGGGACAGATGCTGTATGGTATGAGTCATTTTTCATAAGAGAACTTCGGGGAGATCCTTACCCTACTCTTTTGAGCATTCCTCCGAAAGAAAGCTTTACAAGATTCACATGTAATGGCACCAAAGTTGTAGCCAAATGCACGGTCCCTGCAAACACAACATGTGAGTTCTCCTTGTTGCCGCACACTCCTGTTACGTCTCTTTGGTTCTTGGAGCTTCATTCCTTTATCCTGGAAAAGAAAGACCGGAGTCGTACTAACATCAGTCAACTGTGTTAATCTCGACAGTTAATTAAAAGGAATTCAATTGGACAAATGCATGATATGCTTATGCTAATCCATCTGGCTTAAAATCAGGAAAAGAACTGTGACTTGTCCGAGTTGTTAGACACCTGCAGCTTCCAATGTAAAAGGTTTCTCATCTTCTATATCTAAAAGAACCTCCAGCTGCATAACACTACCCGATTCATATCATTGCTACAAAATAAAATAGATAGCAACAGGCCTTATAAACTGATTAGCAGTTTGGGAACTTAGGCCTCAGATTAGTGAGCATGAATGCCAAAATTAATGACCGAAACACAGTTTCATGGCACGCATGTAGAAATAGCACGCACGAGCACCATGCTACAATCCACTAATTATTAATCCCCTTACCTATCCATTTATTACATTTTGTATGTGCCGGAGCTTGTCAATAAAGCGCATTGCTTGTTTGGATGGTAGTTCATAGAAACCCATTAGTTTAAATTGTTGTGAGGCTATTTGTTTTTGTTTTATTTTTTCAAATAATAAAGTAAATCCATGAAAACAGATATCTGTAAGTTGACAGCCATATTTCATCTAGTCCAAGCTTTGACTTGTTTGAGTGACCACTGCAACTAACATCACTTCTCTGTCACTTAAGTTCTAGCCTGGTCAGAATAGCAAAATTACCATTTTCGTACATAAAATGCTAAGAAAAATAGGCATGTCAGCATACATTTAAAAACTTACAGAAAGAGGAAATATTTTTAAGGCCTTTAAATGCAAATCACAGGCTTATTCCAAATGATGCTACAAAACTTTTCAAAGCTGAAGTTCACCTGTACCATTTTTCCATCTCATAAATATAGAATTATTTTCACCGTGCATACATTATCTTATTTCAAGATTAATACCTCCAAGAAGACACTTACCAGTAATCAAATGAGTAATGATAGTGCTAACCAAGTTATTTCATTTCACACAACAAAAGAAGTCAACTGAATATGATACTGTCATAAATTTCCCTGCCAAAGGGTTACTTGAAGTGACTGATGCAAACTCCTTGCATTTTGACATTTATAAATTTCTTCTCTTTCATTTCCCTTAATATTTGTGAAGCACAAGACATATTTGCAATGCACCATTACAGTTGGAAATTGATCAATATCTCAAGCACAATTAAAGCTGCTTCAAGATAAACAGGGAAATAAAGAAAACCTTCTCCAAGGAAAATCAGAAGATATATGCCAATGGAGGTCTTCTGAACCTGAAGCAGGCAATAGGGCCATTACAAATTAGTATGTTCCCAATCCTCTGTTCCCCTAGTATGTCTTGTGGAAATTTCTTTATTTCTATTGCAATTTAACGTGCTGAAAAAAGTTTTCAATACTGTTTAGTCAAGGAGTCCAATCATTTCGAATTTTTATATGCAGCCTTGAAAAAATATTTTTCTGGTTTTTATAGTTCACTATGGGAAAGACAATTTAAATAAACCTTCAAAGCATTTAAACCAAAAGAAAAGTCAATAATGTAGCATATATAATAGGCACAAAAGCACTTTACCACAACTTTTCAAAATAAATTAACTTTATAAAGACAATTTAATATTTTTAATTAGCAATATACAGTAAAGTGCCATGAATTTCATACAAAAGAAAATAATTAAAATAAGGAAAAGGTCGTTGTAGTCAAAATTTATGAAATGGGAAGAGCTCAGAACTTCCAGCTGTTCAAAATTTATGAAATTCTGTCTTTTTTGACTGGAAGTTGTCTGTTCATCACTAGGCCCTGTGTTACCTTTCCTCATGATTTCTGTGTCAGTTATCATATTGAATAAAAGGTAAGTGTCAGTAATTGCGGCACAAGAAATAATCTTCCTTTTACTCAAGCATTACATGTGCAGCCCAAGGTGTGAGATAACAATCGGTACAGCTGGCTTGGGACGCAAAACAGCATCATCTCACCATTGCGGGGGTTTCATTAAGATAACTGGAAAATCAATTAAGAGCTGCACTGTCACGCTAGCGTATTTTATCTTAGCACTCTGAGATAATGGGGGCGCAAAAGTTGTCTAGTGTTTGGTTTCCAGTTTCATTTTTCAAAACCAAAGAGAGAAAAAAGAAAGCTCTATAAATTGAATCATATCTTTGAAATATCACTTTTGAAGATTCTCTATTCTTAGTCTAGTATCATTTTTCTAGCATCGTTCTTCATATATATATTGTGAAGTAAAAGACAATCTAGTGTATCACAGAAATAAAACTCTTCCCACTCACAGGACTTAGGGCTCATTCCCAATGAAACTATTGTTCTATGCAGTTTGAACCAACTCTGCAGGGACTCTTGCTGAATGCAATCAGATTAACACATTAACACACCTCCTCTTGTTTCCAATGTACTCATATAATCACCAGCTTTTCTGTATTATACTCAACATCAGGGAGACACTTCGAACTTATAGCTGGTGGCATAATTTTTAACATGGGATAATTAATGCTTCTTTTCTGGTCTCTTGCCATTCTCTGGGTTTTTCTAAGCACAGTAGCTACAGTTTTCTTTCTGCTTCTCCATGCTAGCCAGTCTTCTCTTACATCTCCATCTTGGAGCCTACAATAACATCTGGACCTAAGCTATAGTATTTTATATATGAGTAACTTGAGAGACTTAAAGAATACTCAAATACAGTTTAATAAATCTTCATTTTTACAGTGGTTTTGGATAGGGTATACCTTATAATGGGAATATATTTTAAGTTTCCAGCAAAAATTAAAGTCATTCTCTGCCAGATTTTCCTAACAAAATTAATTTTTCTGAGGTAAAGGGCAATATTTTCTTAATCGCAAGTCATTCATCAACCCGTTCCTACACTTGGGGCCCCTTCCCATCCATACCACTGGTATATGTAGATCCAACCAACTCAGTGGGGACTCTCACTGAATGCAATCAGTTTAACAAGCCTCTTTCAGGTGTTAAGCAGAATGCAGAAAGGATGGTGATTAAGGAAGTATGTTGGAAACAAGAGGAGGCATGTCATTCAGTTAAGCTGGGCTCTGTAACTGGAAAGCAGCTCGAATTGCGACCGAGTGCAAGCATCTCTATTCCATAACTCGGCATTTACCCACCTCAAAATGAACGGCTATTCTCGCGATTCACGACGCTTTGGAGTTACAGAGCCCTGACTGACTTGGTGAGTCACTGCAATGGGAATGATCTATAAAGACCAATGGTGGCAGTGGGAATGGGGTCTTGGATTCGATGCCCTATTACAAATTAAATTTTATTATTTAGTCCTAAATGATTGGTCAGTCATTTAGAACAACATAGCCTTCCACATTTATGGCCTACTTTCACATAAGGAGATGGCCTGGTATTTTGAATCATGGCCCTGTAATATGTATAATACAGACATGGCAAGCTGCCATGAAGACTGAGAAATTTATAAGGACACTAGGTATGCTTCAGATAAATGAGTATTTAAACTTTTTTCTCTTTCATCTTTGAATTGGGAAATATAAGAAGCTTTGCAGGATATAAATATGACCTGGAGTTTTTCAAATGCATGGAGACTTACGACATTTATTTTGCCATAAAAAGGTCTATTATGCACATCTTTAATTTTTGCAACATTGTAAGAGTTAATGGGGCCACTGAAACTTTATCATGCAATCCATTTCTTGCATCCTAAATATCTGTTATTTTTTGTGGTATATTGCCAGTATATGAGTATGTTTTAAGCTGAGAAGGTTAAATCCATTTATACATAGAGAATTCAAAAGAGATATTATGTGTAACATGTATCTTTGTATTGAATGCCTCTCTGATCCATAATGCAAAACAACCACATTTCTTTGAAATGAAATTAACTGATGTACGTAAAATAGCTGTTGTTGGATTTCCAGGAAAAATTCTCTGACACTTCAGAGACAGACAAATAGAACAAGGACTCAGTACATCACCCAAGGGCACTTTACATTACAAAGATGTTCTGCAATTAGGATGCAGTACAGTTGCAGGATAAATGAATCAAGAACGCTTCCTTAAAAGAGACAAGGCCTTATGTTTAGATAACTTTTTGACTTATGAAAATGAATGTGGCTATGATGTCTTATTATGTGTATAATTCCATTTTTGGACATATTTTAAAGACAGTCTAAACTGCAAAGAAAGATAATCTCATTTACTAGCCATGCTTATTGATTTGTATGTCAGAAAAATGAAATATGCAATATATCAACAAATAAAAGAAACTGCAGATGACCTTTTGTGAGAATCGTGCTTCAGAATTATTCTACTGCACAAAATAAGAAAACAAATATTTTCTGTATATTTTCTGCTTTCTGTCTGTTGTTTTGGGAATAAGTAGGACCCTTTCCACATTGAGTAGTATACTTTGAGAGATTGACAATTTAACAGCTTGACTATTTTTATTTATTTATTTATTTATTTATTTATTTATTTATTTATTTATTATCACCTCACTGATGAAAGAAATAAAAAGTAGCAAGTTCTGAATAATAATTAATCTGAACAACAATTGTTTTATCATCCTTTCATCCTGTAGTTTCATGGACTAAGTCAACATGGTGATGTCCTCAATCTGCTTAGGAATCTAGACCCAAGGCCCATACCTTAATTAACCTTGACCGAGACCTCCATGTTTAGGTTAGCATCATGTTTCCTAGGTGTCGGATTCAGGTGTGAAATCTTCATTCACATAGGTGGTGGACCAAAATGCTGTGTTTTTGATAAAGCAAAAAATGCATCTTAAACTGCCTGGCAGTGGCTTTGTTTTAAACCACCATTTTAAACTGTCCTGACAAATCTATCAAGATTTGTCAACAATTTTTCCTTAATATTGCTATCAAACAGCCAGCAAAAACATAAACTCGTTGGCAAAAGGAAATAATATAGACAACTTAGTTATTTATCTATACCAAGCATTTATTCTAAAAATTAAGACTAAAATCCAAAAATTCGGAGTAAAATTTTTTGTCACTGGCAGCAAGTCACCCTGCCATTTCACTAAAAATATGATTTCTGTCAACAAGATAAAGCATTGTCACACAACATGACATTCCCCATTATTGATTTAAGCCCCTCAGCAATCATCAACAACTTAAAAAAAAAGGGTCATTTTTTTATTATTTTATAAAATCAGAAGCAGAAGTTCTTTTTCCATGTCTATGCATAGATTTCTTTCAGCACTGTCTAAGTAGATTCACCAATGAGCATAGCTAATGCACTTAGCAGTGGGAGTCAAATGACAAACTTGCAAGCGCCACAGGGAAATGCAATTTTTCTGACACATGACACATCAATGTGAGACATTCTGCCAATCGATGACCTAGATAGAGTCAACTATAAGAATGTTCTAATGATATTCTATATGGGATTTTGGTGCCAAATCCCATTTTTCAAGAAAAACATGTCTACACCTCACAAAGCATTGCTCAAGCCATGCCTGCACTTGGATTTGATGTTTTGTACAATTTTAATTCATTAAACTTATTTCTAAATAGATCATAATTCATTTAGAATGCCATCCATCTTCCTGAAAATTCATTAGACACATACTGCTGAGAATCTAAAATGGCCTTTGTCTTTCACAACAAAAAAGACCATTGTACATTATATACATCATTCTATTATTTCAAGATGTCACAATGCTAAACTTGACATTGATAATGAGGTTCTAAAGTTCTGAAGGAAATATCAACACCAGGTATGCTTCAGATAAACTTTTATTTGAGGGGTTTCAAATTGTTAAGATTACATAGCCTGAAATATATCATTATATCACCTCATTCGAATTCTTTCTTTTTCTTTAATTTAAAGGGTATGTATTAATCTATCATATTTAGCATATATAAATGGTCTCTACTGATCAACATATTGATATATCAGGTAGGGCTGTTATTGTGCTAAGGTGCCATTTTCACCTATGAAGTGGGAGAGCATAACTCTGGAACCATTGCAGATAAATTTACCAAAACTCGTCAGTTATTGATAAACTTGTTAGAAACATACCAGTGACACAAACTTTTATCTTGTTTACCAATACCTATGGGAGCATTCACATCGAGAAGAGCCGAGGTCTAATAAGGCCGCGACCTAAATATGGCAGACCTATATGAAAGGAAGACCACTAATCCTGTTAATCCTCACCACACGTCGTCCCTGCAGGAGCACAGTAATTAAATCTCAGCTCAATTCAACCGTCGAGAGACAACGCGTGTGTGTGTGTGTGTGTGTGTGCGTGTGTGTGTGGGGGGGCGTGTGAGAGGCGGAAAGACCATTAAAAGATTAGTCGTCTTCCTTTCATGTAGGTCCGCCATATTTAGGTCGCGACCTTACTAGACCTCGGCTCTTTTCGATGTGAATGCTCCCTATGAAAAATAGGTGTAATTGTAAGTAAATTAGAGAGAAAATGTAAACAGTGATTTAAAGAAATTGGTTGCACCATCCTTAAGCACTCATACACAGTTCCCATTTGCTGCTGATAATTTTCTGAAACAAGCCCAGAAAGTAGGCCACATCAAGAAATTGAAAATATTGCATTAATAACCAAACCACTGATATGACATCCTCAGCAAAATGACTTAGACTTTTATAGATGTAAGACTTTTATATGATTGAGTTTAATACAAAATCCTTTAGACCAGATTTTGGTTTACAAGGTATACATTAAATTTAAGGGCTTTATTGGGAAAGATAAGTAGCTTGGATATTTAGACATAATTCACATGCTAGTGAGGAAAGGGTAAGAGGAGTTTCTTTTATTTCATGTGTCCCAAGATGTTGTGCTAATAGAAAAAGTATAATACTAGTAAATGTAAATATGCCAAACACATTGCCTTTACCTACCGACTGACTCGATGAGTCTGGTAAATATGGTGGAGATTCACTGCAAGATGCATCCTCTCCATCCATTATTGGCTTCTGACAGAACTCTGAAATTGAAATTTATTGTGCATAAATAAAAAAGATATTATCAGATGTGAAATTTGATGGAAAAAAAAGAAAATAAATAACAAATAAATACATTTGTATATGTTAAAAGGCAAAATCTCTGAACCATAAAAAGTACTATGTGATCCCAGAATCAGGACAGTTTAGGTGAAATCCAGCTAAGAATAACCACAATAAGATATGTTGCTGTAGTTTGGAAATTTAAGTAATTGATACAAGTAACTCACTTTCCACAGTAATTAGCTTCCAAATATGAGCAAAATTTTGGCCAATAGGTAATCATACTATGTGATCCCAGAATCAGGACAGTTTAGGTGAAATCCAGCTAAGAATAACCACAATAAGATATGTTGCTGTAGTTTGGAAATTAAAGTAATTGATACAAGTAACTCACTTTCCACAGTAATTAGCTTCCATATATGAGCAAAAATTTGGCCAATAGGTAATCATAAAAAATAACCAACCTGTTAACAGGTGTACCAAGATGATTTTCCCCTGACCCCTCTCCCCATACTTAAAATTTTCAAAAAAATGTTGAAGGGTTTATATTGTTAGCTTTTTTTCTCCTTTTCTTCTCCAATATTCTGCTATGCCAAGTTGATATTAAGTCTTTTAATTTTGAAGTCCTATCTGACCTGAGAACGACTGACGAGGAGTAGGAAAGGGGGGACATATAGTCCGGTGGCTTAAGGAAAAAATCGTGACACGGCGGATAAAAGCACCAAATTTTGCATGTGGGTACCTTTTGACATTCTAAATCAAATTAGAGCCGTAGCCCACGGAAAAAATTTACCGTTTGGCCCAAAAACCCAAAATGGCCGCCAATTTATGTAATTCTTTAGAAATTTGTACATACCTATGTTTATTTTTATCAAATAGATTATTTTCTCAGAGTTTTCCACACCCTTATTTCCCATTTTATTCATATATGTCAGATAGCAAACAAGTTCCCTTGGACTTTTTGAAAAAATCCAAGATGGCTGTCATTTGCCATAGAAACAGCCATACGATTACTAGTGCACAACTATTACCAGCTAGAACGATACGTTGTCCACTATCAAATTAAGTCTGTTTCTCAGATCTTTGTTACCCACATAATATGTTTGTGGTGAGTAACTACGAAGTGTTCTTGGGCATTTTGGAAAAGCCAAGATGGCTGCCATGTGCCACAGTAATTCTAGCATTGAGGGGATTCAACTAATGTCAACTGGAATGATTAGTTTTTCACTATCAAATTAAGCTGATTTTTGCGTGTTTTCCACATCCTTTCTACCCACACAATATGTATCTGGTGAGTAACTAACAGTATTCTTGGGCACTTTGAGAAAATCCAAGATGGCCGTCATATGTAAAATNATTTTTGAAGATTCTCTATTCTTAGTCTAGTATCATTCTTCTAGCATCGTTCTTCATATATATTGTGAAGTAAAAGACAATCTAGTGTACGTATCACAGAAATAAAACTCTTCCCACTCACAGGACTTAGGGCTCATTCCCAATGAAACTATTGTTCTATGCAGTTTGATCCAACTCTGCAGGGACTCTTGCTGAATGCAATCAGATTAACACATTAACACACCTCCTCTTGTTTCCAACGTACTCATATAATCACCAGCTTTTCTGTATTATACTCAACATCAGGGAGACACTTCGAACTTATAGCTGGTGGCATAATTTTTAACATGGGATAATTAATGCTTCTTTTCTGGTCTCTTGCCATTCTCTGGGTTTTTCTAAGCACAGTATTAATTTTTCTGAGGAAAAGGGCAATATTTTCTTAATCGCAAGTCATTCATCAACCTGTTCCTACACTTGGGGCCCCTTTCCATCCATACCACTGATATATGTAGATCCAACCAACTCAGTGGGGACTCTCACTGAATGCAATCAGTTTAACAAGCCTCTTTCAGGTGTTAAGCAGAATGCAGAAAGGATGGTGATTAAGGAAGTATGTTGGAAACAAGAGGAGGCATGTCATTCAGTTAAGCTGGGCTCTGTAACTGGAAAGCATCTCGAATTGCGACCTAGTGCAAACGTCTCTATACCATAACTCAGCATTTACCCACCTCGAAATGAAAGGTGATTCGCGCAATTTGCGATGCTTTGGAGTTACGGAGCCCTGACTGACTAAGTGAGTCACTGCAGTGGGAATGATCTACAAAGACCAATGATGGCAGTGGGAAAGGGGTCTTGGATTCGATGCCCTATTACAATTTTAATTTATTATTTAGTCCTAAATGATTGGTCAGTCATTTAGAACAACATAGCCTTCCACATTTATGGCCTATTTTCACAAAAGGAGATGGCCTGGTATTTTGAATCATGGCCCTGTAATATGTATAATACAGACATCGCAAGCTGCCATGAAGACTGAGAAATTTATAAGGGCACTAGGTATGCTTCAGATAAATGAGTATTTAAACTTTTTTATCTTTTATATTTGAATTGGGAAATATAAGAAGCTTTGCAGGATATAAATATGACCTGGGGCTTTTCAAATGCATGGAGACTTACAACATTTATTTTGCCATAAAAAGGTCTATTATGCACATCTTTAATTTTTGCAACATTGTAAGAGTTAATGGGGCTACTGAAACTTTATTATGCAATCCATTTCTTGCATCCTAAATATCTGTTATTTTTTGTGGTATATTGCCAGTATATAAGTATGTTTTAAGCTGAGAAGGTTAAATCCATTTACACATAGAGAATTCAAAAGAGATATTATGTGTAACATGTTTTTTTGTATTGAATGCCTCTCTGATCCATCATGCAAAACAACCACATTTCTTTGAAATGAAATAAACTGATGTACGTAAAATAGCTGTTGTTGGATTTCCAGGAAAAATTCTCTGACACTTCAGAAACAGACAAATAGAACAAGGACTCAGTACATCACCCAAGGGCACTTTACATTACAAAGATGTTCTGCAATTAGGATGCAGTATAGTTGCAGCATAAATGAATCAAGAACGCTTCCTTAAAAGAGACAGGGCCTTATGTTTAGATAACTTTTTGAATTATGAAAATGAATGTGGCTATGATGTCTTATAATGTGTATAACTCCATTTTTGGACATATTTTAAAGACAGTCTAAACTGCAAAGAAAGATAATCTTATTTACTAGCCATGCTTATTGATTTGTATGTCAGAAAAATGAAATATGCAATATATCAACAAATAAAAGAAACTCCAGATGACCTTTTGTGAGAATCGTACTTCAGAATTATTCTACTGCACAAAATAAGAAAACAAATATTTTCCGTATATTTTCTGCTTTCTGTCTGTTGTTTTGGGAATAAGTAGTACATTGAGTGGTATACTTTGAGAGATTGACTATTTTTATTTATTTATTTATTTATTTATTTATTTATTTATTTATTTATTTATTATCACCTCACTGATGAAAGAAATAAAAAGTAGCAAGTTCTGAATAATAATTAATCTGAACAACAATTGTTTTATCATCCTTTCATCCTGTAGTTTCATGGACTAAGTCAACATGGTGATGTCCTCAATCTGCTTAGGAAACTAGACCCAAGGCCCATACCTTACTTAACCTTGACCGAGACCTCCATGTCTAGGTTAGCATCATGTTTCCTAGGTGTCGGATTTAGGTGTGAAATCTTCATTCACATAGGTGGTGGACCAAAATGCTGTGTTTTTGATAAAGCAAAAAATGCATCTTAAACTGCCTGGCAGTGGCTTTGTTTTAAACCACCATTTTAAACTGTCCTGAAAAATCTATCAAGATTTGTCAACAACTTTTTCCTTAATATTGCTATCAAACAGCCAGCAAAAACATAAACTCGTTGGCAAAGGAAATAATATAGACAACTTAGTTATTTATCTATACCAAGCATTTATTCTAAAAATTAAGACTAAAATCCAAAAATTCTGAGTAAAATTTTTTGTCACTGGCAGCAAGTCACCCTGGGCTTAAACTAAAATATGGGAAACGTGCTGCCATTTCACTAAAAAATATGATTTCTGACAACAAGATAAAGCATTGTCACACAACATGAAATTCCCCATTATTGATTTAAGCCCCTCAGCAATCATCAACAACTTAGAAAAAAGTCATTTTTTTATTATTTTATAAAATCAGAAGCATAAATTCTTTTTCCATGTCTATGCATAGATTTCTTTCAGCACTGTCTCAGTAGATTCACCAATGAGCATAGCTAATGCACTTAGCAGTGGGAGTCAAATGACAAACTTGCAAGCGCCACAGGGAAATGCAATTTTTCTGACACATGACACATCAATGTGAGACATTCTGCCAATCGATGACCTAGATAGAGTCAACTATAAGAATGTTCTAATGGTATTCTATATGGGATTTTGGTGCCAAATCCCATTTTTCAAGAAAAACATGTCTAAGCCTCACAAAGCATTGCTCAAGCCATGCCTGCACTTGGATTTGATGTTTTGTACAATTTTAATTCATTAAACTTATTTCTAAATAGATCATAATTCATTTTGAATGCCATCCATCTTCCTGAAAATTCATTAGACACATACTGCTGAGAATCTAAAATGACCTTTGTCTTTCACAACAAAAAAGACCATTGTACATTATATACAGCATTCTATTTTTTTCAAGATGCCACAATGCTAAACTTGACATTGATAATGAGGTTCTAAAGTTCCAAAGGAAATATCAACACCAGGTATGCTTCAGATAAACTTTTATTTGAGGGGTTTCAAATTGTTAAGATTACATAGCCTGAAATATATCATTATATCACCTCATTCGAATTCTTTCTTTTTTTTTAATTTAAAGGGTATGTATTAATCTATCATATTTAGCATATATAAATGCATGGTCTCTACTGATCAACATATCGATATATCAGGTAGGGCTGTTATTGTGCTAAGGTGCCATTTTCACCTATGAAGTGGGAGAGCATAACTCTGGAACCATTGCAGATAAATTTACCAAAACTGGTCAGTTATTGATAAACTTGTT